CAGCTCCTACGAGCGCGGCGGGGATGTGTCACCCAGCCCCTACAGCAGTTGGCGTCGGTCGCGGAGCCCCTACAGCCCCGTTATCCGGTGAGTCCGGGCCCAGGGAGGGAAGGAGGGATGGGAATGGGGCTCGGCGTGTGGAGGAGGGGAGTCGTGGCTGGGGCTGGGCCGGAGGGGAGGGCGGGGAGGCGTCCAGAAAAGCAACAAAAGCCCTCCCTCTTGCTGCCAGAAAGCTGGGGTGGGGGGAAGGGGAGCGGGACACGTACAAAGATCTGCCTGTCCTGTCTCTCGGGGGAAAAAGGGAGACGCGGGTGCCTGTAACGCTTCTGCAGCTCGTTTCTCTATGTTGGAGACCACCTAACTGGAAGAAGGCTTTTTAAATATTAAGGGGTATGAGAACGTTTTCAGATGAGAGGGATTGAATGAGGGTGCTTCTCAGAGGAGAGGTTTTCTGAAGGACCAACTTTGATTTTTAAATCTTTGCTTACAAAGCACGGAGATTCTCAGGTACATTTTTATGTATCCTGTTCCCCTGTATAGAAGGGTGCGTGTTAAATACATTTGTGTTCGTTTTAATTCCTGCTAATCTAAAGAGCAAACAAGCTGACGGGCAATTTGTGTTACAAGCGTTCCTTGCTCTTTTTAGAGGTCTATAGAAAGACTCAGGTTTTCTGTTTTGCTAGGAAGAGGAGCCAGTGTCAAGTTCTGTTAAATTGTCTTTTGTGCTTTACACGACCTATGAAAACGTATGTAAGCTCTTTTCCCAGTAAGGTTATATACGTGTATGTATTTGATGTGGGCTTGCAAATAATTTTCTTACTGTTAGTGGGAACTCAGAATGTAAAGGTCAGTGTTTCTGTGACTTCTTGAGTTTTATATGAAGAGGAAACATAGGCTGTATCTCTCTAATCAGATACAAACTGTGTTGTAGAATTAAAGCTCTTAAAAATATTTCACCTTGCAGCAAAACCGCTGGGAATTTAAAGTATTTGCTTAGTGTGTATTTGTAACTGGAGAGTTTTGTTTCCCATATTGGAATCTTATTGTTGGCTCATTGTTTTTAGGCTCTCTGAAATTCATGTCTGGACTTCAATTTTAAACCTATCGGGTGATTTGCCATTCCACTGGCAAGAATTTTGCTTACGAGGCATTACCTGGTGGGTTGTCTGAGAAGTGTCCTCTGGTGTTTCTAAGGAGCACTTTGGGGCGGTTGCCGTTTGGGGTGTCCCACGGCGTACCCGGTGAAGATGCTGAACCCGTTCCTGTGTTTCACTGGCTGTTGGTAGAGTCTGCTGCCCTGGGCGGGCATCCAATGCTGTTTAAAGAGCGAAGTAACAAACCCATGTCCGACTTTGTTCGGAAGGATAGCGCAAAGGTGCCTTTGGAAAAAAATAGTGATTGTTTTAAGGTATGGTCGTATGGAATAATTTTGTGAACAATAGGGTGTTTCAAGCAGAAAGCGCTGAGTGCTCTGAAAAACAACACGTCATCATCATCGTTCTGTGAGAGCCTGTTACAAGGGGTTAAGGATACTCTTTCAAGATTATTTGAATACTAGAATAAAAAAATATGCATAGTTTGATTTAAACACTCTAGGAATCAGATTCTTTTCTGTAGATGCTTATATCCTGGAATAAGAAAACGAAGTAATGATGAGCAAAATTATGTACGCTAGGTTTGCACTTACGAAGAGCTGTATTAGATTGGCGGTCCAGTTAATTTAGGATCCTGTCTTATGCACTGACTGATAGGGCTGTAGTAGAAGGTACAGGAGGTGTGGTATAGGGGACAGCTGCAGAACAAAGTTTTGTAGGAGTGATGTGTTTCTGTTTGTTTTCTGTTGGTAGTGGACCTGCGATTTGAAGCATGAGAGTTTAAATCTCTTGATTTTTGTATTGTCTCTGTGGTAAGTGTGTAAATCTTCCTTGAGCTGCAGATCCGCTCCTAGGAGTTAGCTTTGTGACTTCAGGCCTTCCTTCCTCCAGTTAAACTGTAATTTGCATCCCGTCTTTAGCTGCATACAGATAAATTGCATTGTTAACAAATGCAGATTGTCCAGTTTACTGGAGAGGGATTGGAATGGCCGAGTGAAAAGAAGAGGTTGCTATATGTAGAAAGCAGGGTAGGTCTGTCCTAATGTGACATTCATTGTAAAAATGTCATTTTCACAGAAAACAGGAGTAACCAGAAGTGTGGAGATAAGCTCAGTTGTTCATAATGTTTACCTGGTGTGGGGAAACACAAGCTAGTGTTTCTTTGCTCCCATACAGCAATTACGCATTATATGTATTGCGGTGGGGAAATAAAGACGGAAGGTATTTGTACGATTGTTTTAGCCGTTCAAAACTGTCTCATAATCGCTTTTTCTGCTTGACTCTGTGGTACTGTGCCAAAAATGCTGAAAGTTTTTGCTGTGCTGCTTAGATAATGGTATGGTGGCATTAGACTTGGTAGAATATTACGGTTTCATGAAGGCAACAGCTTCTTACAGCACCTGTCTTCTTCATCTGGATGATTTAAAGACTTAATTCTGGGCTTGTATCCAGCTGTAATGGTGTCAAGACAGTAAGAACTTTGTGTGTGACTGAGCGTTCCAGGCTGCAAGTCTTTTTGCTCTTTTCGTTCTATATCTCATATATGTGTCTTCTGTAATGTTATATAAATTATTTAGTTATTTGGGTATGTAGGAAATAGGAATGAAGTGGTTCTAGCACGCTTGGAAAGCTTCTGTGTCTGCTGAGTTTTTCATCTAGGGCTCTGAGCTGCTTAGGGAGAAACTTCTAGTAAACAGTTGAAGAGAAACAAGTGAAGTCAGCTTCGCTCATCCAAATCCCTGGTTTTCTCAAGCAGCGGTGACGGCACAGTTGCTGTGAGTTACAAGTTTTGAATTGCAGTAGTGACTCGGACTGCCGTCTTTCGGTGGTGTTGCCTGGATGTGGGTTCTGAAGCGAAGCAAAGACGCTAGATACGCTTTGCATACGTGGAAAATTCTCTTTGAATGGTAGACGAATTGGCTTTTCCATTATAATAGCAGTAAATGTCTCTGTTTTGGGCAGAGTGATTGTTTGAGCCGTTTCCACTTGGCGGACAAGACTCCTTTACTTGCTACTGGTGGATTTGTATGACTGTATTTTCTTGTGGATGGTAACACAGCTGTTCTAGAGTAGCACATGCACATTTTCAAAATGGAAATTCTTCCATAATACCAAAAGTATGAGCTATTTATTGCTCTACTGATAAGCTGACTGGATTAAAAAAAAAATTCACAAGAAAAAAAGAAGGGGGGGTAAAAAAAGAAGACCCCAAGCTTGATAAAATAAGCAGACACAGTCTCTCTTTGGAAACTATTTTTCGTAACTTCAGTCAGGTCATATGTTATGTGATCACACATTTAATTCAGTTAGCTGTATAGATGAGTAATCACATTTTTCCAAATTTGGATACACCTACCCATCTGCCTAGATAAAAGTAAGTGGGTGGGGCACTACTAGCATAGTACTACTGTGTGCATGGATGTTGCCTGTAGGAAAAATACAAGATTTCTTGTTGGTACTACAGAGCCATCTCATTCTCTAGCTGTAGCTGCAGTAGTAGTAGCTAGTCTGTAGTAGTGAGGCTCTGCGAAATATGGATCATTTATGTGCAAAACCAAAACAAACATAGGGAAAATGGTAAAATACATATTCAGCCAGTAAATGCTTACTTCGTGGAGAAGACATGGTTTCATACACTGATATAAAAATAACTTTGAATCCAGTAATTCTGCTACTTTTGGACTTAAAGGAGTGGGAGAGATTTTCAGACATTTTGTTCCCCTTGTTTGGTGAGAATAGATTTTGTTACATAAAGCTCTCTAATCTTGTTTAGTAAACCGTATTTTGCAGAATTTAAAATGTGAAACTGTATGTTTTCACTGTTTGGATCAACTAATTTTTCCAGTGTGCATTGAGGCACTCACTGTAGTACATATTCTGAATTTATTACGTTTCGTTACTTGGCAGTGGACTTTGCCTTTTGCCTAACCATGTTGATGTACCTTTCTTTTTCCTCGTTGCACTGCTGCTTTCATTACTGTGGGAAGGGACTTCATTTGAAAAATTTACCTTTTAATGTGTTTAGAATACAGCGTTTGAGTTGACTTGACGTTTTGCTAGTTGATTTCTTCATAGGCAGAGTTCTCATCTGAAAATACAGGGTTATAAAGCAGATTTAAGAAAGAAATAAAATTAACGTTCAGGATTTTTTGGTAGTCCTATGATGTATGTATTGGAGACCCTTTTAAAGATTTATGGTTTGAATCAGTAAGGCAAGTTCTGTAGTCTTCGTGCACAAAGCACCTGAGTAGGTGGTTGGTTGCAGAGCTGCTTAGACTGTAACCTTGAACTAGGGGCTAGAGGAAATAAATAAAATTAATTAATAAGGTATTGGGTGAGAAAGCACTGTTACTGTTAGGGCTTAAAGAAATGAATTATGTGTTTGCCGGCTGGTGCAACGTGGAGGAGCTATACTATGACCTAGAATGTTTGGTCAAGGTGGTTTATGTTGGAGAGTGATTATGTATGTCTTGGAAGATCTGCGGTGAAGCCAATTGATTAAATTAAGGTCTCCCTTTTCGAATAGACAGTGACCTTACGGCGCAGGGGAAGATGGCAATGCTTGGGCGGTGGCGCAGCCTTCGCTGGTAGTTAATGAAAGAGCTGGGCTACAGCCGGCGTTTTAACCTCCTTCGGGCTATTGGGTTTCTTGTTTTTCCACTCTTATTCTCACGAGTCCCTTTGTATTATGTCTTGTCAAAAAACTACTGACAAAATTGGTTCCCTTTTTCAACTCCGTAGGCCCTGATATATTCCGAGTATGATATTGTTTGCGCTTAGGTAACACATGTAGCTGGCTACTGGTATGTTGGATTTAGCTCACTCCTAAAGCGGTTAAGAAGAAAAGAGGTTTTCAAGTTTACAAACGTGAGAGGATAACACATGACTGTGCTGATTTGTCAATAAAATGTAATGCTTTTTTTGTATTAAAATAAAGGGAGGATTGGAATGGGAAAGAAAGCGGCACTTAGAAAAGTAGCCTGTCAAGAAAAAAACACGTAGGCTGAGTGAGACCTGTATTCCTGGGAATCTGGCATGTGTAACACTCGTATTTTTCTTTCCTCTGTGCTTTCAAATATCAAGATAGTAAAATATAGCACTTTAAGTTTTAAGTTACTGTTTGGAATTCTTTCATTCTGTGCTGGGAATGTAAGTGATATTACATCAGTAAGCGCCTTTTTTTTTGTTAAATTCATTAAAAAAATCTACAGTTGGTAATCGGTAAGCTAACCAATGAAGTGTAATAGTATATTGCCTTGCGAGAAGGAGGAACATTGTGACAGTTTTGTTCTGTGCTTGGGAATGTAAGTGATATTACATCAGTAGATGCCTTTTTTTTGTTAAATTCCTTTAAAAATCTACAGTTTGGTAATTGGTAAGCTAACCAATGAAGTGTAATAGTATATTGCCTTGCGAGAAGGAGGAACATTGTGACAGTTTTGAAACTTGTAACTAATAACACTTTGATATCTTAAGTAGTTTTCCATACAGTGAATAAGTACATTGTATTAATTAAGCAGAGGAAAAATGAATACTGGTTTATTTTATGAAATCGAGGATGCTAGGGAAAAAATGTTAGAAAGAACGAACTGTGATACCTAAACCAACTATTCTTTTTTTTATTATTATTTCTTAGAGGAGGAGGGTAAAACATTCTTTTTGTTCTGAAAAATGGAGGAAAGCAGTGCTGAGGTTTGGTTTTGGGGTGACTTCCTTGCTAGTGCTTTCTTCCTCTATCACTTTCTTTAAATCTGCCTCTTCTCCTGTGTGTTTTGTAGATAATGTCTTGAACTTTTTTTTTTTCTGGTTTTATTTTATAGCTACACATAATATTACGTAATTACTTCCATTTCCCTTTGCAGCTAATCTAGTTGCACTCCTTGTCTCCTTTGTTGCTGTCTCTGGAGAAGAAAAAAAGCAGCTTTAGAACTTTTTAGTTCTAATGCAGGCTAGTCCTACTGACACTTACAGTTTTTAGGCAAATTATTTTGATTTTTTTTTTCTCTGCCCCCCCCGCATATATAAAAACATATTGAAATCTGTATATGATTCAGAAGTGATTTTATGAATGTTATGAAGTCTGTCCGTTACCCTTTCTGTAGGGATATAGACCTGTGTGAGGTGAATTCAAGATGCTCATAGAAGACTCCAAACGGCTAAGCGTGGCGAAGGTACTCATAAATGAGGTAGAACTTCTGGGTGCAAATAGGAGGAAGCATCAAAGGAAACATACCCAAAATAGTGGCTTCTTAGTAGTCTCTGCCCATGTGTGTTACCAGCAGATGCTGGTGCCTTTGGTTTGGGAGATTGGGACATGACCCTTTGGTTTAGTACCCTTCCTGACCTCTCCAGGCTTGGGGGGGAAAAAAAAGGTTGGATTGTTCTGTTGGATTTGTTTGCTGTTTGCAATGCAGTTCTGTGCAGTTGGAGCCACTGGTCTTTTGTTCCTGTTTACTGTGTTAAAAACAGATTGCTAACTAAAGACGAAATGGTGACAGATGACTGTCAGATAAGGCATATATGTGTGTATGCACACATGCACATTTAATAGAAATCTGATGGAAGATTTAGAGAGTACTGTGTATTTCACATGTCTCCTAGTGGTTTTTTAGGGTCCCAGTAAAATGTCAGTGTCCTTTTAAATGGCAGGCACTGGCTTTTGTGTGAGCCCATTTCTGTGGTGCTGTGACTTCATCTTTTATGTCAAATGAGTGTTGGTTCTGAACAGAGTGAATTGGCTGGGTTTATTATGTATAAGGCAATATTTCTCCACTCTGTGCTCTGTATACGCTTCTGAGGGAAAGCTTGTAACTGTCCATAGTTTTGCTTTTGTGCCGTTTTTATAGATGGAAACTGGTACATAAGTTTTGTCTAGCCTGGCAGGTTCTCTTGGGATTTTTGGACTAACGCTGATGAAAGAAAGTGATAGTTGAATATTTGAAAAGATCATTAGGCTTATGAAAACAGCAGATTTTATCGTTGTAACTTGAATAGCTAGCACTTGACAAAGCTGCCTTTTACTTAAGATTCAACATTTGTCTGTTTAGTTGAAAGTGTTAATGTGTTTGCTGTAACACTTGGGTCTAGCTCCGTGTCCAAGGTACAGCGAGGGATTCTTGCAAAGGTCTTTGGGATGCCAAAGAAAGATCTAGTTTATTAATAGCACAGACATGTGCTATGTAATGCAACAGAATTTATTTATTTTTTTTTGCTAACGTAAAATAAAATAATGAAAAACTTTTGGAAAAATCAAACCAGTGCAGAGATTATACTCAGTCAACATATTTCATAGCTAGGCTACTGTCATTTTGATCTGCTGTTAAGGGCTGTAGTATGTACTGGAACTGAAGCTTAAACATTTGTGTGCATGTCTATTTGTTGTCTCCCACATGGATGTAATTCTGACATAGAAAGTTATGCTGTTGTCGTTTGGGGTGTGAAACCTGGGAGAATGGTTGGAGGTTTTTTTTGCTGAACTTGCATAAATCCATGTTCATATCCCAGACTCTCTTGAGTAATGTTGGTAAAATATGTACATTGAGCCATTCCCAATGCTTGGCTTCCTTACGTGTTAGTTTTTGAAGAAAGTGTAAAGATTTAGGTTATTTTTGCCCTGGCTTTTCCAAACTACCTCTTCCCCACCAAGTTATGGTAGCTGATCAGGTGAGGATTAGTAGTCACTAACTTGAACAGATTTTCTCATTTCATCCTTAGTAGTGATCTAAATGAACCTATTTTATTTTGAACCAAAGTAGAACAGAAACAGTCTTATGATCAGGCATGATGTCTCAGCAACCGTAGTGTTTTAGGCTGCTACTTCTCTTTTCAAGTGCCTGTGGAATTATGTCCATATTTCTGTTTGTGACAGAGATTACTTTCTTTGTATCAGGCAGCTTTCACACCAAACAAAAAACCCCAAACAAACCAGAAATTTTACTTAGGAAAGAAATAAAATTTATTTTGAGACCTTTAGGGCATGTTTTAAGTTTAGTACAGGTCGCAATGAGGTCCTTGGGATGGAGGTTGTGTTCCACAGGTAACTGGAGCGAGTGTCAGTTGAAAATAGCTGATCCGGGAACAAGACGTGCAAGTAAGTGTTTTCCAAGACAGGTCAGTGACATCCTCGCAAACGATGCACCATTTATAGAAGTCAGTTTAGGACTAATTGGGCTTATTAGCTTGTGCCTGATGGTGAAGAAATACAATTACGCTGATTCTACAGCCAGTGCGGGTCTGTAGCTGTATACATCTCCTTGAGATAATAATTCCTCTCGGAAAGTGAGATAACAGGGTGAGGAGAGCTCTGGCCTAGCATTCGAAGAGTGTGTATTGTCTGCACAGTCTCAGCCCTCCTTTTGCTTCCTGCTACGTCATCTTAACTCTGTATTATGGACCTTTGTACTTTTTTACTCTTACTACAGTTTGGCCAAGCCTCTGAGAATTTTCTGTGGGATTTAGTACTTAGCTTTCCAAAGTAATAATGAGAAAAATAACTTCAGCAGCATGATTCGTAATGGAGCAGAAGCGAGTTTTCAAGGGAATTTTTCTGACCAATATTATATTGTATTTGGGTTTTAATGGACATTAATATCACTTTACTGAAGTGAACCAAAGCCTTAAATTTTGGTTGAAAATTCAGAGGACAGTATTGTGCAACTTGCTTTTCTTTTAATTAAAAGTGTAGAAAACTTCATTATTATTATTATTGGTGGTGTTATTATTACTGTCTGTCATTGTTACCCTGCCATGCCAGAAAATTCTATAAAACCTGCTTCCTGGAATAGAATTGAACTGTGTTAGTTTCCAAGAGTTATCCTCATCTGGGGTTTGATTTTTTTGTTGTTGTTGTTTTTTCCGTTCTTTCAAGAGTCTCTAACCATTTGGATCAATTTCAGTTTTACCTATAGAATTTTTAAGCTTTTGCTGTAGTATACAGTGTGCATACCGACACACTGTTTTCAGTCACTTCTCCATAGTCTTGTTTTATCTGAATGACTTTTTGTGTTGCTTTAGAAAGAAGACTGAAAAGAGTTCTTTTTATAATGCAGGAAAAAAGGTGTAAATTTGGAAATCAGTAAATATCGCACACGAAATAGAAACATTCTTGTACTATATTAAGTATTTGTTCAGTTGAAGCATTGAAATGTAGTTTCTTGTGTTGGTAATTAAAATGTGATTAATTTAATTGTTACTGAAATTAAATTTGACATAGGGGTGGATTGTCCTGACCATAATGATTGTACTTGGCTTTTTTTTTGTTTTGTGTTTGTTCTTTTTTGCTTTGGCAACCTCCATACACTGGTGTTATCTTTTGAACTCTGAAATTCTTGTGCCTCCAAGAAGTCTTTTTTTTTTGCTATTGCTTGATACTTTTTTCTTTGTGCAGCTCATGAATACTTTTTTTTAATCCTGATTATACTTTTTCCTCCCCTTCAAGTGGTATACTCGAGCAAAACAGATTTCTGTCAGACTTTAATCAAGAAAATACTTGCATGTCTGGTGAATACCCTTGCTGTTCTTAGTATGGTAAAATGGATTAAACCCCTCACATTTAATTTCATTTATTTCATAATGTTTCTGTGTGTTAGCAGTGGATTAGGCTACTTGTTCTGTGCCCTTGACCTCAATTAAATTTTTTCCCTTTTGCTTTTTAATGAAGAACTGAATCAAAACTACAACCAGGCAAGTTAGTATATTCCTTTGAACAATTGAATGAAAAATAATTCATATTAAAAGGTATTTTTGCACAGTAAAAGGCTTTTTTCTAATTGTTAAGATTCCCCCCACCCCTGCCCTCGTTCTAGGTTGTTTTCCTGCTATGATTTTGTAGATGGCTTAGATTTCTTTTCTTTTTTTTTCCCCCCCCGTTAATCTCTGTATTCTGATGCAGGCATAGCATAGGCCTACTTGTGGATTATGTTCGCTTATCAGTAGCTGTAACAAGTATTGGATACTTTTGGTTCTTTTGGGAAAAAATGTACAGTTAAATTTCAGGAAAGACAAGCTAAGATTTATTGCTGTCCTTCAGTTGGTTACATTGCAGCCTTTAGTATTCAGTATTTTTTTTTTCAACTAACTTTAATGACAGTTGTGAAAGTGAAACTTAAGAAGTTGCTAAAATTACTGCTTCAGTGTTGTGTTTAGATTTTTCTTGTCGTGTTGTAACATTAGTTTCATTTTGTTGAATTCTGGTTATGTAGCCAGCTGAATTTTTCTCAAATACCGCATATACTAAAGGTGTTTGCACAAGTTACATAGGATCAGATCTTCTTGAAAGGAGAAAAAATACCTTTTTCTTGAAAGGAAAAAGGAACCTATCTGTCTTATAGGTATACTTGCATTTTGCAGTTTTTTAATGGAAGAAACTACCTCTAAGAAAGTTCTAACATTTTCCAACAACCTATTTAGGTGTAGAATTTTGATTATAGATTTTTTTTTTAAATGCATGATCTTTCCTATTTCATAGACTTTTGTTTATTCTGTAAGCATGGTGATAATGGTTGCTTTAAAAACAGAGGTTTGTCAAAAAAGCAGATACACTGGGAAAGCAACTAGACTAAATTTTGACTGGATAAACCTTTACTTTTTTGAAACAGGAGATCAGCAAAATCTCGAAGCAGAAGTCCATATTCATCAAGGCACTCAAGGTCTCGTAGCAGACACAGATTGTCTAGATCCAGAAGTCGTCATTCAAGTATTTCTCCTAGTACATTGACTCTGAAGAGTAGCCTGGCTGCTGAGCTGAACAAAAACAAAAAAGCAAGAGCTGCTGAGGCAGCCAAAGCCAGCGCAAAAGCTTCCAATACTTCGACACCTACTAAGGGAAACACGGAAACTGCTGTAAGCGCACCTCAAGTGAACAATGTAAAGGACCTGAAGAAAATAAAAACGGAGCATACACCTTCTCCTACAAGCAGTGCAAATTTGAAAAATGACAAGGCAAAAGCAAAGGTCTCGCTTCCTGAAGCAAAAGCGGAAAATAATTTAATTGCAGACAAAATTACTAAACAGAAACCTGCAGCGGTAAAAGAGAATAAATCGACTGTTGTAAAACAGCCACCGGTCACTGTAAAAGAGAAAAGCAAACCAAGTACACCAAGTGTAGTAACCAAGGAGAAGGAGCGAATTGTTGCACTACCAACCTCCACACTGCCACCTTTGCCTTTGCCTCCCACGCTGCCTGAAGATAAAGAAACTGATAGGTGAGTTGTGACATAAATTTACTTTTTGGGGTTGTCTGTTCCTTTTTATTATTTTTGTTGTTATTGTCTGTTCTTTTTTTTTATTGTTATCATTATTATTTCCTTTGGAAAATAAACATAAACCTATTTACTAGATCAGGCTGATGCATTAGGTAGTTTGTTCTTGCTTTTCAGTTGTTTAACATGGCGATTGTTAGTGAACTGAAAGAATTTGATCATAAAGTAAAAATAATTTAAGTCGTTCTTGAAAAGAGAAGGATTTAGTCTAGGAGGAATCTTTCAATGAGAAGTATACTAAAGAGATGATTTAAAATTGCTAGTACATAATAGCTTTGAGACTAATGCAAAGATGCATTCAAGGATTAAAGATTTCAAGTTCGGTGCAGACATGTACTTCTAGGGGAAATTTGATTTCAGTAGCAGCGTGTGAAAATTATTTAGTTATCTGGGGTTTGAGGTAAAGATTCCCTTCTCTTTGGAAGGCAATTGTTTTTATAGCTGTGCATTATTTTAGGAGAATTTATCTCAGAGATCAGTATTATTTTGAGTATGTATAACGGAAGTGAGGTTCATGACTTGTTATTTGTGTTAACTTTTGAAGTGTCAAAATTGATCAGTCGTGAAGAAATTCATGTCTGTATTGCAAGTGTCATCTGAGTTTAGACTGCATTAAGTCTCTTCATAGTCCTAACAGAGAATAGGTGCTGTGATTTATATTGGGAAATTATGCTGTTGAGCTGTAATTTACTGTTTTTCTTTTGATTTGGGGATGAAGTTGAGAAAAGTTACTTTTGTTTTTACAGTGTTACATGCCTCTTGCATGTATACAAGAAATCAACTTCTCTCAACAAGTAAAACAGAGTTTCTTACCATTGAAGTAATAACTAATTTAAGTGTGATAGATCTTTGTAAAAACTGAAACTGTAGAAGAAAAATTCAAAACCTTATGAAGTACTTTATTTGTATTCCCTATCTGTGAAACTAGCCTGTCTTCCCTTATCCTTTGAGAAGTGTGTAGAGTTTCTTTGATTGGTAAAAGTAGTTATAACTAGAGATGTAAATGTTTCTCTTGTGTTTGCTGGTAATTTAATGCTATGTTAAACAATGGGATGCACAGGAGGCCTTGGCAAATAAATACCACCTGACAAGGTATTTGTTTGTTTTTTTTTTTTTACTAGTAAAAAAGAAATCTTGTTCCTTGCCCTTCAGCGCTCTCTCAAATGTTATTCCAGTTGTTCAGAATCACATCTCTGTGGCGAATGTAAGGTTGCATTTAAATTTGTGACAAAGCTGTCCTCTCTAGGTAGACGGGATTTCTGACAGTGTTACTGGAGAGCAAGAGTTACTGTTTTGACTAAAAACTAGGCTAACTAGTTTAACTAAATATATGACTGGCATTGCAGCGTTAATTGCGATGATATGAAATGAGATTTCATCTTGCAGCTGGCTAATTGCTTCTCATTATTAGTGTTTTTTAATGTAATACCTGTTTTAAGTATAGCTCAACTGCACAGAGGAAATAAGCTCTGTCTATGGGTCTATCGGCACTGGCCTCATTCTTCTTTAAAAAAAAAAAAGGCTAATGCTTGCAAACAGCTGCATTAGAAAGCTTAATGACCAGTAATAGAATGCCCTTTATGCATTGCTTAGTTTTGCCTATAGGATGTTACAAACTTCAGATCAGAATGGTTGTGATTACAAGTCATGATAAAGCTTAAGTCATCAAAGAAAAATAAGCGATGTTTTTCGGGGAGGAGGAGGGCAAAGGTATTTACCTGGGGCTCAGAGTTACTATGAGGAAACTGTGCCAACGAAGAAAACTTGGTGCTCTGCAGAACTGGCTGGTTCCTAATGTCGTGTCAGTTGTGAAGTTCAGTACGAATCCGATAAACCCACAGATCAACTACCTAAAGGAACAGCAGTGCTGTAAAACCACTGTGTAGGTTAGCTGAAAGGGAAAACTGTTCTAGTGGTCAGTCAAGTGTGGTTTAACAGACTGGAAAAAAAGGCTGGTCTTGGCTGCCTCTGCTCTCATGTACCACTTTTAAAATCTGTTTCAGAACCTCTCATATATTGTCCTTTCACTAATATAGAAAGTTTGGGGGCAAAATTGTGAGAGAAATACAAATATATGAACTTCAAAATTTAAGAATTTTTCTTTACCACGGTAATTATATGCACTGTGCAAAAGTGGTTTGTTTTTTATAGCATGTTAACCATTATATTTGTGATGAAGACAGTATATGCTTCCTTGAGGTGCTGCTTTTAAATTCAAGCAGTAGCTCCTTGAGAAGTGGTAGAAGACTTCCAGGTGTTCTGTTTTGATGGGAAGCACAGCCATACACAAAACACTGGAATCCTTTATTTAAATATATAAAGATTGCTAACTGCAGTTAATGTAAGAAAGAGTATGTGCAGTCTCCATGATGGAAGATAGCAAAATCTTTCCATTTACAGAAGCTCCTGTTTTACCTATGAAACTAAGTAGGTAAGAAGTTGCAGAAAAACCTCCAGAAAAGGTTCCCGGAGAAGTACGCTGACGGTAGATTAGTGCAATTTGGCAAATGCAGCTGTCTTGGAAAATGTCACCTCAAAGCATGACAGAAAGTTTTCTTGATGCAACAACAAATTTTGAAATTTAAAGGGGGAATACTGTATAGGAGTCCTGTGGGGGGAAGACAGTTATGTAATTATATAAACTTTAGAGGTGGTCATGGCTTTAAAATTGCTGGATATGCAGTAGCAGCAGAAATCTGTTAAACTAAAGGAAGTCCTGGCAAAATGTTCGAAAAAAACCCACAATAATCCTGCAGCAAGTATGATGTTTTCAGAATTTCCTCATTAGAATGGGAAGAGCATCTCTGGAATTATTGCATATAGTAATTGTTAAAGGAATATATTGCTGTACATGTGTTTGGGGGTTTTTCTCAAGACAGAGATTAACTGTCAGGATCTGTTACCTAATTATGGCTGATGATTAAAAAATGGTCAGGTATCAGTAACCCATGGCAGAAAAATGTTTAGTCGTTTTTTTAATCTGATTTTTTTTTTTACTTGAGTTGCATGCTGATCACTAGAAACGTGTTGAATCTGGAGTGTTTCAGCAAATGTATGAGATTGCAATCTGTAAATGAGGTGGTGTGGACTGCCTCATAATGCCCTGCAGTGCTACTGTAACCACGAAGCTCATTATCTTGGGAGACCAACTTTAGAGAGAACCGGATTAGGATAATCATCTCTTTTATATGAGAAGTCAGTCAGAGTTCAGATTTTACCACTACACTTGTGATGTCTGACAGCACCTGAGCTCTAAATATTCTTAATAGCCTAGGCTGTAAGCTTGGGAGGAAGCTTGTGTGGCAGAAGTCTGGCCTGGTAAGGCTTGCTGTGTCATCTAAGCTCAGCTTTCACCGGAAAGATCTGATTCATAGTTTCTGTAGAATTTTGGTAGTTAGCTGTGCATCTTCCAGACAGCTATTTGTGAAGCATAAATCAAAGTCCTGCAGATACTAAGAGCAGAGATTTCAAATGTTGATACATTGACAGCCGAGAAAGTATTTTTAAAAAGTAATTCCAATAGGTTTTCTTTTTTGTATGTTAATATCATTCTGCTGTATTCAACTTATTAGCAAAATTGTGTCTTTTTTAATAGTTTGCGAGAGAATCTTTCAGTGAAGTCGGTTAAAGAAGCAGAAAAGAAACTTCGCCATCTGCTTGCAGACTTACCGCTTCCACCCGAGTTGCCTGGAGGAGCTGACTTATCCAAAAGTCCCGAAGAAAAGAAACCAGCAGTTCAGCTACACAGCAAGAGAAGACCAAAGTATGTTTATTAGACTTTTTTTTTTAAAGCCTAGCAAGCAAGTAGAATTAATAATAGTTTCTTTAAAATATATTCTTTTTGAAAGAATTCTGCTTTTTGATGACTTTTTTTAATATTAATAAAACTTGAATCAAACTGCATGATTTATTGCCACTTTATGGTAGTAAACCAGTTATCTAATAATACCTCATAAATATTTAGTGTTGGGTTTTTTTTTTTCAAAGTTAAGACAATCATTAGATATATTAGCTGTATTCTTAGAAATGCTTGTTTTCTAGAATATGTGGACCACGACATGGTGAAACAAAAGAAAAAGAAATAGACTGGGGAAAGCGCTGTGTGGATAAATTTGATATCATTGGTATTATTGGTGAAGGCACTTATGGGCAAGTTTACAAAGCCAGAGATAAAGACACAGGTAAGTTCAAAAAAGTAAATGTAATCCTGCAATTCTAAAGTGCAGAGGATATTTTGGTTTTGTTTTGAGTAAAAATTGTATTCTTCCCTCTAATGCTTGGAAAGTTTTTAGTTGTTGGTTTCTTTGTTTAGTTTTAAATCTAGCATTTGTCTAAATCGGAAATTCTTTTGCTGTCTTGGAGAATTATTTATCTGTGAAGTTGTAGCTGAATGCAAGCTGAATAGTCTTAATTTCTAATTCTTATTTCTTGAGTTTTGACTGTCTGTACACAATTGCACTAGTAAAGAAGAGAGGGTGAATACTCTCAGCTGGACAGTTGGACAAAGAGTAATGAAGTTTGTAAAGGGATGTAAGGGTGAAAGAAACTATGCATGAGATTTAGCCATTTTTCTTCTTCATACTCCAATAGTCACTGGCTGATAGGAGGAAGAGAATCTGCCTCTGAGCAACACAGCCCTGAAGTGTTGCATATTGGATATTTTTCTTGCAGTATAACTAACTTTACAAGAGTGACGTAATTTTAAAATTTCATGTTAAACTATTGCTCAAATGAACAAGCAGTCACCACTGATACGTAAGAGTGTTGTCACTACTTCTAAATACATAATGCATTGAAGTTGGTTCTTCATATGTGCTGTATGGTGCTTGATTGGTTTATGTTCAATTCTTCGTAGTTCTTTCTGTGTCTGCTTGCCCTTCTGGCTTATTTGTGCATGCTTTGAATGCTGGATAATTTTCTACTTCAGCAGTAACTGAATCATGTAGGATCACACACCAGCCTCAGTTTCTTCTTTCTGATCCCCAGAAGAATGGGCAGCGTAATTATAGTTCCTTCTTCATTCTTCACCTGTGCTTGTCTCAGTTTGCAAACTTTAGTTCTTTGGGTGAACTGTCACAGTTTTTATTTTTTACCTCTACCTTGGGAACTGTTGCAAATCGTTGTTAGGAGCTTCTTCCTGCTCTTCTGGGATTCCGTTCTTCGCACATTTAACTTTTTAATCCTATCATAACCATATTGCCTCTTTGGCAAGCTACAGGTTATTTGTGTGCGGCAGTCATTTCTTAACCTCCAGTAGTTGTTGTTGCTCTCTGTATTGAACGGGTCCATACAGTTTTAGCAAACCTTCTGTTAGCTTTGGACCCAAATCCTGTGCAAAGAGTGGCATTATGGCCTTTGAGATACCTCATAACCACCTTCAAAGCAGGTGGATGTTGTGTCATGCTGGCATGTGATCTATTGTGTGTGTATCATTTATGCTGGTGTAGGTTAAGTCCTTTTTAGAGCTAAGAAAAATATCTGTGCTGTCAATAAACTTCCCAGACACAGCAATAAACTTTCAAGAACAGAATGATTGAGCTGGCATGCAGTCTTTAGATATCCTCCATCATGAGTAGATCATGCTCCTGCCATTTTGAAGAATCCAGTTTCATTCAGCACAGTGTGCAGTAAAATGATAAGGAAAATTTTTCCTCTCTGTAAACACGGCAGTGGCACTTCTGCTTGTAGAAAGTATACTGATGAATTTGAGAACTCTTTAGTCATCTGCCTCATATCTTGAACTGTGCCATATTTCTGGCTATATATATATGTAGTATTTCTGAGCTGTGGTGATGTAGTAATAAGAAATCCAGAGCAGACATAGGCCTTTGTCTGTAAAGCTGCTGTTAATAATCACTCTCATATGGGGGTTTATTGATAGACCTGGTGTGGAATATCAGGACAGAGGTGAGTGAGGTATGCAGGAGGAAGAAGACAGGCCTTACAGTGGGCAACTGAGAATTCTCATTTATCGTTTTGCCTCCCAACAATGGTTAATTCTGTTTCCATTCAGCAAAGCGTTTGGTGCAAACATCAAAATGTTCATCCGTTCAGAAATAGTAACAAATGGGAAGGATTTAAAAAAACCTGAACAAACCCAATACTAAATCCCATAGTTTGGTTGCCAATGTTAATGCTTTTCATTTAAATTTTCTCTTAGGGGAAATGGTGGCACTAAAGAAAGTACGTCTGGATAACGAAAAGGAAGGGTTTCCAATTACAGCTATTCGGGAGATTAAGATTCTTCGACAGCTTAATCACCAAAGCATTATCAACATGAAGGAAATAGTGACAGATAAGGAAGATGCTTTGGACTTCAAGAAGGACAAAGGTATGTACGCTGTCACAGCAGTAGCTCTTTCTGGTCCTGTTCTTAATACGGTAGTCTGCTATGCTGGATTTGAAGTTAAGCTTCATTAAAAAATATGTTTGCAAATGGTGATGCTTGACAAGAGATTTTAATTTTGATTTGATTACTAATAGAAGTCTTAGTTAACTCAGTTATACCTTTTGCTCATAGAAACATTTTTGCGAATATTTTGTGGGATAAAAAAAATGTATTGCTTGGTTCCAGTTTTGCTGGAGAGGAGTGGATGTTTGACTCCTTGACACTCATGGATTAGGGAGGTCAGAAACAATAGGAAGCTCTTAATTGTGAGCTTTTTTAGCCTTTTATTTTCCTCGTCATATTTTCTCATATCCTTTAGAGTATTGTAATCTTAATGCTGAAGAGGTGTTTTTCATAGTAGGCCTTGGTTTTATTGGAATTGTGCTTTTTTCAGTTACTTCAGTTACTTTTTTTGTCATTGGGCATGTGTGTCTTGAAGGCTAGAAGAAGGATAAATGAAAAGAATGAAAATCAGGGTTTGTGTGGTGATGGTGTTTTTCCCCAAGTAGAAGGCACGCAGACTTTTACTCTTTTGGTTCCTTCAGTGTTAAGTCTGGCTTGTTTTGAGTTACTGCAACCTCCTTCGCCTAGAGAGTCAATCAGACAGTGGAAATCATGCAGTGCTGTTGCTTGGCACTTTTGATATTGGAGTGGTCGTTTTGTCTTTGGAGGCCGTTCCCTTGTAGGTCCAAGTCTTATAAACCTATCATTTTGGGGTATTTTAGGGTCCTGGGGGCAATTTGATACATGGTTTGGCTGAGGAGGGTATTTAGAATTTGGTACCTCTGCTTCTTCCCTACTTTCCCTCCCTGAGTTTCTGTACCGCATGCCCAGCACCAGTGTGGGTAGAACATGCTTATGTGCTGCATAGCCAGCAGAAACACTAGGTGACATTGTGATGAGTCAGAAGATGGCTGTCAAAATTAATCAGGAATTAGTTTGAGGTTTTTTTTCTAGCATCTTTAGAAAGTGTAATACCTTGAAGGCTCTACAGTACTGACACGCTTTTTAAATTGTGTTTAAAAGTAGGAAGCATCTAACAAAAGAGTTTCTCTAGATATGTGCAGGTTCAGCGGTCAGCACCCACTCTGAATCCTGACAGTCTGCAACAGCCAGTTTAGGCTTTTCATGTGAATCTTGTACTGAGTTTTAATTAGGTCTAACCTACTTGGCTAATGGGACCACACTGAGCCTTGACTTAATACTTAGTGACTCATTAATTAATTTTCTCCATTTCTGTTTGGTGCCACATCCAGGATTGAATTGTAAATTTCTTTTGGTGTGCGTCAAACTGTATGTCTCATTAATTTCAAAAGTATTTTTTTTGTCTAGGTCTGTATTTGTGCTTTTGATACTGCTTTCAATTTAATTTCTCATTCTTATTTAACAACCTATTAAAACAATAACATTTTCAGAAAATTTGCAAGGGAAGGGGCTTCTCTGGAGATGCTAAAATAAAATTGCTTTCTGATAGTCTCTTGAAAGCATTAGCATAATAATGAGACTGCGCTATTACCATTTGTCTGTGAAAAGATGGAAGTTGTTCTTTTCCCTGCCCCCCCAGCACTGCATTCTGTATTTCTCTAATGAGTAGTTCATTGTGAGATGGGCATTTATAGCTGAGACATGGCCAAATTGTAGTGTATGCAGTGAACGAATGCAAGTGAGAGGAAGTTTGGTCATTTTCTCAGTAAACCATTGCAAACACAAAAGTAGGCTACTTGGCTTAAGAAGGAACCATGATAAAAGTGGTAGTGATGTCTTTCTCAGGCAGAGCTTACAGCAGAAACAAATGCCCTTTGATGAACATGCTTATGCTTAATGTATGTTATATGCTTATCTTAGGTTTGGAATATAACTCTTACAAAACCCTGCTGATACCCATTTGTAAAAGTAGGGAATGAGAACGTTTCTGCCAGCACATGTTCTTCTAGTTGATATGAGTAAAGTTAATTTTGTGTCCGAGAAGGCTGACTGTCATTTCCTGGCCTATTACTTGTCTGCTTACTCACTTAAGGTGGTTTTTTTTTTTAATTGGATCTCAGTAGTTTAAAATGCAACAAATTCAGTTTTCTGACGATTATGTAAACGTTGGGCACGCTTTGTACAGTACTTGTTTTAAGGATGCCCTTTAAGATACTAACATTGGCCTGCAAACCAGCAATGGCTTGGCTTAAACAGCTTTGTCCTGATACTGTGGGCTGTGTTACCTGTTTTTAAGTGACATAGTCCTATGCCTTCCAAACTTTTGAGTATCTGACTTGTCTCAATATTTTCAACAGCATTTTACTTTTAAAGAAAATGGAAGAAAAGTATATCTGTGTTTTATCCTGGCCAGTTTGGGGTGTAAGTTTAGCGATTGGAACAGCTTTAATAGGTAGAATTGGTTTTATTCTTTCTAGACCAACCATTAGAAAAAGAAATGTAACACATTGGAGCAGTGTGTTACAACTGTTGTAAGTGTATTTCTATCAGCGGAGAGATACAGCACATCAGACAGCAAAATTGCATAGGTTGGGCACGTACACCGCTGAGTGGGTGATAGGTGGGTCTGCTATACTGAAGATCTGAAGTTTTTAACTTTGCAGTCTTCATTATGCATGAGACATATGTGATGATAAAGTTGGAGAACAGCATTACTGATTACAAACTGGTAACGTAACATCTTGACTGGGAGGCGCATCCTGCCAGGTAAAACATGTATGTTGGGTGTGGCGAGAAGGAGTGTCCATTTGTGTGTTTCTTGTGTAGGCTTTTCTTCCCAATCTGTCTTTCAGAGGGAGATAAGTGAACGCACAAACTTAGGGGTGGGAACACAGGACTCATAGTTTGTATTCTATTTTGTGTGTATATCTGCATAACAGCTGACTTAACAGTATGTTCAGCAAATTTATTTTTTTTTTAAAAACCTTCTCTGCTGCTCTCAGGATATAAAGCCTCATTTGACTTGATAGCACCGATGAACTACAGTTGCCATTCAGTATTTTCCAAAAATTTCAGATCTCTGGTTATTTTTGTTGAAAATGTTTTCTTTTAGTGAGCTAGTGCAGGAGCAATTGCGAGTGTCAGTCTTCGACAGTAGCAGAAGCAGCCTCATGCTGTTGGTGCTTATGATCTAAGTCTGCTGGCAACTAAAGTTGCCTTCATTTTTCCTTTTGTCTGAGAAAGTTTGTGTGATGTTCCCTGTGCTATCGTAATTGAAGAAAACAAGATTTAAAACAGAAGTTGAAAACAAAGAGCTATTTCCTAGGTATGTTCAAATCTATACACCTCATAAGCTAGCTTAGTTCAGCCACTTCATTGGTTATAAAGTGAATCATTGGCAAAAAGGCCCTTCTTTGTTCAAGCTTTTGTCGGGTCTGGTTTGTTTTCTCAGTAAGTCTGTCATTTATATGACTTGGGTATTTCTCTTTTTTTTTCCTTGGGCACCTGAGATGGTCCTTCACTTCTCAGTTGCCTCTTTATCAGGTAGAAGCTGTTTGCAAGTGCTCAACAGTCTAGCTGTGGGACTGCCATGAACTTTTTACTCAACACTTGGAGAGTGCCTGACTTAGCTTTTGTTGCTGTGAATGTAAAACCAGTAGATGTACTGACTGACATCTCTTCCCCCTTTTGACTGGAAGAGGCATTTTTAATTGCTAACCTGAGGGAGGATGTAAAACTTTGCATGGGAGACCAATAAAAAAGATCTGGTTGACATCGCAGCTTGGGGTTTGTGGTTTTTTGTGTGTGTGAATTATCTGTTTGGATTGCGCGTGTGTGTTTCTGTAATCCATTTTAAGCTCTGAGTTTACTTTAGATTAAATTTTGAATTGGTTTGCAGTACAAATTAACAAACCTTTTTAGGCACCAAGTCTGTATTTATCTCTACAGTACTGTAGCACACGTGTCAAAAGGACACTGACTGTGGTACATTGTCATATGACTAACAGGTTACTTTCTCACAGCCGTCAAGGAGTACTTGGTCTTGTCTGAAAGCTTGTGGTTTGGAAGGACTCTGTGACAGCAATCATGTAGTCTTCCGAGAGTATTTCACTACAAGCTTCCTTCCCTACTTGTATTGTAGCTAGCTTTATGTGGGTTTCCTGGGAAGCTGAGTAAAACCAAACTGATCTGAATTTCGGAAACCTCTAATGATCTACAGCTTGCTGTGCTGCTCCCGAAATAGCTGATAGAAACTTCTTACCCAAGTAGTTCTCATGCTACATCTAAGTTAACCAGGAATAGTGTGACTGCTTGAGTGGTGCTCCCTGTTTGTGTGTGCTGTACTGGACACTGGGCTGGAATGAATGCAGACCTAATTGTGTGGCTTTTCAACTTGATCCCTGTTGTGGCAAAATGAGAAAAAATCCTTGATTATTAATCAAAGATTTCTGTTATGTTTGGTTTACTTTTCCTCCGCTTTAAGATTTTTGTTCAGTTTCTTATTTCCCTGTAGTATGTGATGAAACAAGGACAGCATTTACTCTCATGGCTTCTGTATGCCCTTGGCTGGTATACCTATTTCGGAACATGTTTCCATGGACTTTAAAGAATGTATATGTAAGGAACTTCAAAGGATTGCTGGACAATTTCTTCTTTACTTTTCAAGCTCTGATTGATAAAATTCTGTTTAAAGCTGTCTGGGAATATAGTGTATCATGAGTACTGGAGGAAAAATGTTAAGGAAATGGAAGTGTAAATAGAATCCAATTAACTTTAATCAATCAAGGGGAAAAAAGAAATAATCTGTGTATTGCATAGAAGAAGCTGAGGAGGCTTATTAGTGAAATGAAAATCTGATGGAGTCTCATTCTGAACAGTAAGCATAGAACAAAATGTTGAAAACCTGTTCAGCAACTCAGCATTGTACATACCATGCACTGAATGAGGCAGGAGTTTGGTTTTGGGTTTTTTTTAGTATTTTTGTATTTTGAGATACTATTGTAGTGCATTTATACAAGGATTGAATTAAAATTTGCACATAATAAGGCACTTCTGGTCTCCCGGTTCCTCTGATCTGTATTTAATCAGATAATTTGAGAAATCCCAAACACCTTCCATATGAAATTACATTTGGAAAATATTTGCTTAAAAGCTGGCATCTGTGTAGGCTTTTGGATCATTCTCCCCTGCTGCTCCCTCCCTCTCTGCCTGGCCTGGCCCAGCCTGAAGCTCTTGTGTCTTACTTGAGGAACAAATGCATAACTTGATGTCCTGCTTTGTTGGATCTGTGTGATTTGATGACAGTCCAAAAAAATCCAGAGTCTGCCTGTGTCACGAAAATGCAAAGTATGTTTTGTTAGGTTTTTTGGCCCCTCGGAAAATCCTTTGTTTATTACAGATCATCAATGCCGTGTTTTGTTGAGTTATCCATTTTGTATGCATAGCTTTACAGCATTATACCCCAGCTTGTTTTGTGTTTTGGTTAAGAAAACTTTTAGAGCTCCATGACTTGAAATATATGAACAGGAGGAGGAGATGTGTTAATCCTTTAATTGTTTTAAACCGGTATCTCACTTTCTGACCCTTAGCAATCTTAACTGACAAAATGGTCAAAAAGATGAATTTTTCTAAATGCAAACAAAAGGAGTAAGGCGAGGATTGTTTCCATCCATGTGAATCTCCTTTATTTATTGTGTACCTCCCTAATAGATTCAGCTGCTCTCTCTTATCCCATATTCAGGAGGTGGTAATACTACTACTCTTCAGCTGTTCCAGCTGCTGCTCCCTCAACATGCAGTGACATTAAGGTTTCTTATTATCTCAGTAGATGAAGGAATGGAGATGAGCTGTGTGGTTATTAGCAAAGGAAATGAGACACCCAAGACATAAACTCCCTGTTAGTGCTTTGTTGCACCATGTGGAAATGGACTGTAGGCAGCCTCCCACCCCACAGGTACTTACTTCTGGGCAAGTGCAGGTCTTTAACACAGCAGCAGTAAGATGAGTAATGTTCAAGTCAAGTAAGTCATTCTGGGTTCGTTTGAATTGCATGTGCTTTACTGTAATAGAGCTTTAGGCATTTTTATCACACTGCTTCCAGAAATGTGGATATTGGGCAAAGCTAGCATGAAACGAAGGGTCATTTTAAAACATAACTTCCAAGTTATTGAGTGTCTTGGCCTCAAAGGAAAGGATGATTATTTTTTTCTGTTGTTTTCCTTTTTGAGAAATGGATATTTGTGCGGCATTTGTTTTGGTTGAACTAAAGGATGCTGTGAACTCCCAACTCAGACTGCTGTAGTATGCAGACTTCTGCCTGTGCATAGTTCACTTGTGAAGTCTTCCATGACTGTTTTCTTCTTCCTGAATATCTGTAGCTTCTTTCCCTGTTACAAAGGATTAGATCCTCCAATCTGATGAAGAGCAGTGGAAATCTGAAATGATCAAGTGGAATAACGTAGCTGTGTTGTTGACCGAAACAGTAGATCCCTATCAGAAAATGGCACCATGGCTGTCTAGAAATAAACTAACAGAAGTTTCACTTCAGTTTGCTTGATACCTTTTTTGCAGCTACAGTCACTTCCAAATATGGTTTGAGAATACTGAAAATCAGGTTTTAATGATTAGACTGCCAAGGCTAGTAGACTAATTTTAATAGTTTCTCATAACCAATGAAGAAGATTCAGCTTTGACAGTTTGTCTTTTTAAAACCAATTCTAACGTTGTGTCATATGTAGATGGTAAATAGGTAGTAATGGCACAAGCGTAATGGACCCATGCATTTGCTCTTGCTCTGATACGCAAGGAACATTTATTGTTTATACTGTTCTAGTGTATGTTTCTTAATGAGAGTTGCAGAGAATATAAATAATGTCATCTCCCAGGTACTACTCTGTTTTATTTATGAATTGTCTCCACTGTTGTCAGCTTTCCTTCTTCCATGAGGGTACCGATTGTGATTGCTGGTTATAAATAGAGGTGAAAAATCCCAGGAGCCAGTGGCAGAGTGGGAAATTGCTGAAGGCATGGAGCCTACTTTGTATATGAACAAGAAGACACTGTTGAGCTGTTTTCACTACACAGGTCTGCAATCCCACCGACCCTTCCCGGGCTTTCTCCTTGTCGTCTACGCACAGGGTGCAGCCTGCTGCCACCACAGAGTTAACTTCCCTTTGTGTTCCAGACCAAGAAGATACCAAGATCATTGGTATTCAGTTTTGTTGAGCTAACATCCTCTGAAGGGCATTTCTGAATTATTCTGGCACTGCAGCATTAATATCAGGTGTTTTGTATCAAGGCATTCTGAAATATGTCATGGTTCATACGTCAGCAGTGGTCAGTGAAGTAGACCTAACACCAGGTTGCCAGCTCTCTTGTTTTAAAAGACCAAGATTAGGAGCCTCTGTGCTGAACTGGGGAACTGCATTGGTGAACTCGGTTACGCAAATAGTGACCCAGCAGACTTTTGGTGTTCTATGGGTCTTAATACTTCCTCCTTTCCTTTTGAAGGGGTGGGATCGGGTTGTACCTACTTGATTTACCTCCTGCTGCGCCTCCTCTGAACACACCAAGAGGGATATTTTATGATCAGTATTCTGCTTCCTCCGCATAACATACAGCAGAACGAAAGGATCTAAATTAAAAACAACGAACTCTAAATATCTTGTGCAGTGGCCTGTGGTTTAGCTGCTCTGTGCTGATCTTGGTTACAAGTTTAACACTTAGTGTAGGAGTAATCTTTTTTTTTCTGTTTGTTAAATAGCAGATGGATTTAGCACTTTCTTCCCTTTTCAGCTACCATGCAAGAAAACAAGTCGGTTTGTTAGAATTTGGCTGTGTATGTATGTATGTTCTGGCAACCTGACTTCTCATTCTTGCTGCGAGACTGGCTTCTGAGTTGGATTTTCTTATTTAGGAACTAGAACCTGTAATGAGTTCTTGTTGGGCAGAAGCTATTTGTACTTTAGAGTGGTGGCTTTGAAATCTCTTTGAGGGAGGCTTTTGAAAATGGAAGGTAGACAGACCCACTTGAACGTGGTTTCTGTATTGCCACCAGTGCTCTGCAGGGACTGCGCTGTCTTCTCTGCCCCGGAGTTAAGAAGGGAAGGAATTAAGTACTAAAAAGTACATGGTACTGGGAGTGCTTGTGCTGGAGATTGGTTATTGCTGCTTCTGAAGCACTCAGCACTTTTCCTCTTTAAGAATACTTGCATATATCAAAGAGCTTTGGCTTTAATAGCTTTATTTGTGGAATTGCACAGGCTAATGTGAGATAAGACCAGATTCTATTATGGTTAATATATGTGTGTGGCAACTTGGAATATGAACTCTGTCTTTGCAGAGCTGCTGTTGCTAGTAGCTTAGTTCTGCTTTCTCGTTTTGTCTTGTCTTCTAGATATTTTTAGTCTGAGAAGGGCAGGCTTATTTCTGACCCAATTCCACACTGAAAGCTTAAAATCAGTCACAGATTCGTGACAGATGAACTAATGCAGTACATATTTTGTTTCTAGATTACTCCCCAAACTTTACGTAGGGAATATTAATCCAGTTAATTTTTCTTTAAATAAAATGGATGGTGATTGAGAGCCGTAGGGAGAGTATATGTCCATCTAGATTAAAGTGCCATGTGGTAGCATTATATAGTTTTCACAAACATTTGACTAGTATAATTGTTTACATGGAAGTGTGATATTATGAAAACATTTTAAAACTCCACTGTCTTTCATTGCTGTTATTGGACATGAGGTACAGCTATAAATATTGCAGAAAACTTAAATAGTTGTGTGAAAAATACTCCCAACTTTCAAAAGCAGGGAGCAGCAATGCTTTGGACTGCTGTTAAATCAATTTGTCTCTCTCTGTGTCTCCTGCTCTTATTTTCCTAGGTGCATTTTACCTGGTATTTGAATATATGGACCATGACTTGATGGGACTGCTGGAATCTGGTTTGGTTCATTTTAATGAAAATCATATTAAATCTTTTATGAGACAGCTGATGGAGGGCTTGGCCTATTGCCATAAGAAGAACTTTTTGCACAGAGATATCAAATGTTCAAATATTCTACTAAACAATAGGTATGGATATTACTTGAAGTATGTAAAAAAAAATTGTATGTTAACAACATCTTTAAATTTGTCTTTTAATCTTCACAGTTCACCTGCTTTAAGTCATTAGCAAAATTTTTTTTAGATTGCCTAATTTCTTTAAAATCAGTTGTTTAATACTAGTCTGGCAATGTTACTGCTTAACACTGGATCCTGCAATTGTTTGTTAAACTTACCTATGTTAAAACAGCAGGATTAAAACTTGAATCTTTAGGTCAGAGTATGGAGGAAAATTATCTGAGTTCAAATATATTAAAACAGAACTTTAGGACCGAAGTGTTTGACGTGTATTCTTTTTGCCATCTCATTTCAAGGTGAAGTGTGGCTAGGCTGGTTCTTTGTGACATAATCCTGAGGTCCTTGTTTTCATCACTTTGAATATTCTTTTAAAGCATTATCCCATCAGGCATGTTGAAACATGCTTTGGCTTGCGGTTATAGCCATAATCAAATGGGGAGAAGAATTTGTTTCTTACTTCTTTAACCACTTGTAATTACAAATCATCTTAAACATGCTTTTGTTCAGTGTGCAAGAGCAGCAAATAAAAAGCCTGTGTGAAGATGGTGGATAACTTCAGTACAGAACTGTTGCTCATCAAATCCAGCAGTACTAAAACCAGGGAGCAACTGTAAGAGCGAGGTTTATAACAGCAAAATGAGTATCTTTACAGAACAGGTACTCAGCCTCTGGGATTTGTTGTCACAGAAGGTTTTCCGGGTAGTGTCAGGAGATTTGAAAAGATGAGACACGTTCATGGACAGGATCAGTAACACCTGCTAAAGGGAATAGACAGGAATACCTGTTTTAGCATCCTTAAAACAATGATTGTGGGCGGTGGTGAGCTACAAGCCCCAAAGTGAGCAGGTTCATGGTTTTCTCTAAAAATCTGCTGCTGTTGGTAGGGCCCTAGTTTTGTCCCAGCTTTCTCCAAATTAAATTTTCCATTTTTTCCCTCATTTTTTTTTCTTATAACAAACTAACATTAGACTATTTTCAGCCCTGGATCTCACCACAGTCTTGCCAGATTATGATACAGACTCTTAAACACATGTACACATGCTTCCACATCACTCACTCTGCCCACACCCATAATCTTGCTGGCCTGCGACTCTCCCGGTGTGGTGCTGTCTCTGTGCACCTTTGGGAAGTCAGAAGCCGAGGTGTAACCTGGCAGTGGAGAAGAGTGCATTATGGTAGAGCTGGAGCTTTCTGTTGTGCTGTGCTCTCTCTAATCCAGGATACAGTTTTTTCCCCTAGGATATTTTTTGAGCATCCTTAGACGTTTCCACTGAAAGCAGAAAAAGTTGATAGTTGATCTGAATAATTTTTAAGCCAGTGTTTCTAAAAGCCCATTACCAGTTACAGCCTGAAGCCGAACACGTGGATTATATATCTTTTAGGTATGCAACTTAAATGTCTTTGCTCAAAAAATCATTGATCTTCCACAGATAGGCTCTCTGAGGAATAAGCCTGTAAATTTGAGGGGAACATTTCTTTGTTTATGGGAGTTCTCCGAGCGTTACAGCAATTCCGAGCACACATCTGAGGGGAAAAATGGAATGGAAACTATAACCTGTATATTTTATTATCACAAAATGGTCATTCTTACACGCATCAGCAAGTCTTGCCCTAATTTGATAAAATAGAGTTTATTTGAAAGTGACATTTACATGTATTTGATGGGAGTTTTAAAAGCTCCTAAGTACAGAAAAACAAAAACCTAATGTAACATTCCAAAATTCATTTCATGTATTAGGGAAGCTTGCAGACAGCTCTCTGTTTAAATCATCCTGACTTTACAGATAGTGGGAGCTTCTGATCATTGAGCAGTGCCTTTCAGCCATGGAAACTGCCAGGCAAGAGCTCTGTATCTTCTATTCTTCCTCTCATATATGGGAAAACTCAAGAAGGGGTTAGGGGTTGTGTTATTCAGCAAGTTGGCTGTTGGCAAAAATAGAAGACCTTATCTTGTCGGATTTAAAGGCCGTATTTAAACTTCACAAGAGCAGAACAGGACTTTGACAGCTTCCTAAAAGGAAGCATGACTGCTGATAGTTTTTTGTTGTACAAATGCTTATGCTAGCAGTAAGGCATGAGAAAATAACAGTTTCCTCCCTCAGTTTTTTCCTGCAGAGTTACTGATTTGAATACTTTACAGTATACACCTAAATTTTGACTAACATCTGGTGACATAAATGCCATTTGATGAGCATACCTAATTGTGCTTACTTGTCTTTGCTGTTCAGTAAGTCAGTGTATCTGTTTACTGAAGAGATGCATAGATTGTAAGGCATTACCTCCTCATTATTGTGGTTTGGTGGAGACCAGTTGCAGCTGTCTCAATCTCAAACTTCACCTGATTTTTGGGAGAGGAAATCTAACAGGATTAACCACAAAATAATTCTTTGCTTTTTCCACCAGAGGGCAGATAAAGCTTGCAGATTTTGGGCTTGCTCGGCTGTACAACTCTGAAGAAAGGTAAGATATAATTATACTGTGAAAAAGTGTTCAGAAATTTAATCTTTTTGCATAACTCTTAAGTATTCTAAGGGCTAGAAGACTGTTTTGTTTAGAAGAGATGTTATTGTACTGTAATACAAGTAATTGCTTAGGAAATGGAAAGAAGTGCATGTTGTCTTACACTGCATAAAACCACAAAGCTCTCTTTGTGCAAGTGTATTGCTTTTCCAAGTGCTCTGGATAAATAACTGTATAGAGTGGCTATATATTGATTGGAAATGAAGAGTTGCAGTCTTAAGTAGATTGCCTCAATATGTAGGTTTTTACTATTAGTGTCTGGTCCTGTATACCTAAAGAATATTCTTTCTATTGGTATACCTAGGAGAAGTTTATTTAGGGAAAGCAAAATTTTTTGCTGATGCAAATGAGTACACAGTTTCTTTTCAATAAGAGTTACTTTTGTGTAAGATTTAACCTTACATTTGAAGAGGTTCATTGTATTCTTTAGGCAGTCAGTGCTGTTGAATCTGCTGGAAACAGAGATACAAGTTTAAATAAAAGTTATTCTGAAACTTCTTGTGATTTGTGCTTCTGTTGTTCTTGGCTTTGTTATGCTTGTACTCCAGGAAACAGGTGCACAGTTTTTATGATTAAGAACTTCAATATTTATATTGTAATGTCATGTGTTTGTCATGTGGAACTCGATTTTCAAAATTCATGCTGAATGTTCATTATGCTAGTATGTACATCAGGTGGTTGGATGCAGAGAATATTAGCTACCTGAGCTTACTTTGATTTCTGCATGCCTAATTTGGAAAATAATACCCATAATGTTAGCTTTATGAGTTTATTGTTTTCTCACAGAGCTCTGAGCTTGTTGTTGAACCTGATAGCATTAGTTTCACTGTCTTCTGAGCTGTTATTTCAGCAATGTATGCTTCAGTACAGTTATGAAAACCGTTGAGTATAGTAGCAGGGTAAGATCATCTTAAGCAGCTGCTGGGTAATTCATTTTTGTTTTGGATGTATTTATAATAAAAGGGATTGATGCCATCCTGCCTTCTTATTTTAACATGCACCAAACTGACCTAATTTTTATTTTCTCTGGTTTACCTTTTTTCAATGTCTGTTTTTAAATTAATTTAAATTTTGCTTGTGAAACTAACTGTTCATTAAGAATTGAATAATTGAAAGTTCAGTGTCTTTATAGTAGATTTTTGACAATTCTTTTGTCATTCATTTTCCTTCTGAGTAGCTTCTGACCTGTGGTAACAGACGTAATTAATGTATACCAACAAGTGTATAATAGCTGCTGCTTTAAATTAATGTATTTTACATTTGTTTTATTGTTGTTTAGAATGATATACTTTTCAAAAGGGTACAGAATTTAATAGGAGCATAACGAGGAGGAAATAAAAATCTAATTTTAAGTAAATTTCCATTGGTTGTTGTAGATGTGCTCCTTTAAATGTTATTCTGGTGGATTTAATGTGTTTGGAGTAGGAGATACGACAGATCGTGTAAGAAAACATCTGTTCAAATAAAAAGCACCATATAGCACCGAATATATGAGTGGTGTATCTGTAGAGAAAGTCCATACCATGTAAACATTTCATAGAGGAATGCTTGCTTCAGAGATAAATATGATAAATGAGGGGATTGTTTCTGAAAACATACTGTGTTTTAAAAATGAACTGGGGAGTTTCTTAATGAAAAAAAGACTCGGGTGATTTTGCAGAAATGATACCTGTACCACTGAGTATGTTACAAGAGCTTGTTAGACTTAGTGCTATGGTTGTTCAAACTCCACATATAATGCTACTCTGCTTTTTATTGGAGTTACCTAGTGTTGGTAAGAGTGAATTATTAAAACTGAATTTTGGGATCACTTTTAAAGATACCCTGGTTGAAACAAAACCAAAACCTAACCTTCGTTTTCTGCCTTCCATTCTGAACTGTTGATGCTGTATCTCGTCTGTCCACAAAAGAATGAGTGTCTAAGATAGTGGAAATCCTTGCCTTAGTGTGAGGGTGGAAAGGATTATTCCTAGTGACCAAAACTTCTGGTTAGAGCTGTAGAGAATTAAAGATGATGTGAAATATAGGAAGATCTTGGAAGTGTTGGGGCTTTGGAATCAAAATTGTTGAAGGATGTAGTTCAAGAAAAAGGCTTTGTCTCTTTTGCTTCTACTTACAGAGGGGAAACTGACTTTTTTTTTCTTCTTTTGAATATGCTTGTAGAGGTCTTATATTCAGAATGCTAATAATCAGTAGTTACCCAGAAATTACTGGTTTTATCCATGCAGGTCCTTCTCCTGACATGACTAGCAATGTAATAAATATACAGTATTGCTATCTGAATAATAATTGAGATACAGGATTCATATAGCATCAAGATAGCTATGTGATTATTATTTATATCTTCAATCTGTCCTTTGATAGCCTTGGTTAGACAGTTGCGTTTGCTTTTGTGCAGTTGCAGCTTTGCAGGACTAAAATTAGGAAAAGGGCATGGAAGATTTTACTGTTCTTAAACAGCACCACAGAAGTCAAGTTCTCAAAGCATCACTTTTTCAGAAATGAGATCGTAGTAAAATGATAGTCCTCTCTTTTTCCTCCCCCCAACAGCCGACCATATACCAACAAAGTTATTACATTATGGTATCGGCCTCCTGAACTTCTGCTTGGAGAAGAAAGATACACACCAGCTATCGATGTCTGGAGCTGTGGGTAAGAGTTTGGTACAGAAGTGTAGCAAGCATAAAAACAAGCCAAAAATAAATCTTAAATGTTTCTGTCAATCTATGTTGAAAGCCATAATGATGGAACTGTGCAAAACTGTTTTACAGCTGCATCCTGGGCGAACTCTTTACAAAAAAGCCAATATTTCAAGCAAATCAAGAACTTGCTCAGCTGGAACTTATAAGGTAACTTGCAAGCACTACCACGTAGTAGGTGCCTCATAAACTCTCAGGTTTCTTTTGTTAGTTTTGTTACCTTAAATCGAATATAACACACTATGAACATTTGTAAGTACTCAGTTACCTCCCTGAGTGAGATGTTAGAGGTTTTGAGGGACATGTAAAGCAAGTGACTTTTGCTCGGGCATGGAGAAGGGTTTTTTGTATTCTTTGGTCCTAGCAATGTACAGTTGAATAGCAAGCGGGTTTTTTGTAGAGCAGCTGGAGTTGCCTATTACTGAAATTGTAAAGAGAGAGTAGTGAAAATGCCCATTATTTTTTAAGGTGATGTTACAACTTCTCTGCAGCAAATCAAAATGAAAACATGGACAATAATAAGGACAAGTGGGATTTGGGAGGAGTAGACACTTGGCATGCTACTGGCCTTGAGTTCTTGTTTCAAGCCTTCCACATACACACCTGAGCTTTATTGTTTTTGTGGGAATATTTCTGTTCCCTTACAAACTTCCAGACACTTTGTGGAGGTAGAAATTCTGTTTCTTTCCTTGATCTCAGTAAATCATAGAATGATATGTATATAACTCAGTGAAACCAGAGCATCTTTTTTTTTTCCCCTTTATTCAGCAAGCAAAAATTACTCTTGATTCTGATATCGTAATTGACCTTGTAAGTGAGAGGTCCTCTTCCTAGAAACAAAGGGGAAAGAGAGTGAGTCCTACAGAACTTACAGATCCTGAACAATAAATGGTCAACATTATTTTAAAAATTAAATTAATAAAAAATTTATGAAGTTATATATTGAGATGTTGTTCAAAACCAATTAAACAGTAGCATGTCTGTGTAATGTGTAATTAGTTGGCCTGGAAAAATAACGTTTTTAGGAGGTGCGAAGTGTATCAGTGGTCATTCTCAGCGTAAGGAGAACTAAACTCGTGAGTTGGGAAATTTTGGCTTTTGAGCACTAGATGGCATCGAAGCATGTCACAGTGCACTAATTTGGAGTTTTTTCTCTTTGTGTTGTACCTCTGGTACAGCAAACCAAAATTTTGCAATTTCCTTCTTTGGCTGGAAGCTCCTGTTTGTAGCTCATTTTTCCTCTTCGCTGATGCTATGCATTTTTGGCAGTTTAAATGTAATATATCAGTTTTATCAACATCTCTACCACCATCATGTTACAGTCAACAGTTCCACATTTATGCTTTCTAACTTTAATGTTCAAAGATAGAGCTGAAGTAAACTTTGATAGGAAAAGATAGATTTGTTATTTTTCTTTTCCCTCCTGAAAGTTACGTACCCCAGCCAGCGTAAAGTCAGATTGGTTTGCATAGCATTCAGGGTATAACTAATAGATCATTACGTCTCTTGCACTAACCATTTAAATCTAATAAATGGGAGGGGTGAGCTAGGGAAATGTATTTGCACATGTCCTTTTATAACAGCCTGCATCAGAGTTTGAAACCTTGCATGTGCTGTAAAATGCCTCTTTAGTTCTGCTCAGAAGTGTGCTGTTGGTCAATCTGTGCTTAGCCATCCTCCATTGGATAAAATGGGTGGGCTTGGAGAGGGAGGAGTAAGGCTACAGGCAGCTCAGCTCCATTTGTGGAGATCAGTGAGGCTTGAGACGTAAAACTCATAACTGAAATAAAAAATGTACAAGTTTTCTAGTGGTCGGATCTTGTTTCTGCCCTTAGGCCTTACTGAGTTGTTTTTTGTTTTTTTTTCCCCTTGTGTCTTCAGTATCAACTAAATTCTCAGTGAAAAGTGCTTTTTCAGCCATTTGGTATATCTTTCTTCACTGGCCTTGGGGAACTAAGGACATAAAAGTTAATTAGCACTCTAAACCTGGGCTATCCAGTTCTTCAAGTCAAATCCCTGGAGTACTGTCTAGGCATAGTTGGTTAAGTTTTTCAGAATATTTGTGTGGAGGATGCTTGGGGTGGGGTGAGGCAGAAAGAGTGGACTTCTTAAAGTAAGTTTAGTCTGTGCAGGGCGATTACCTTTCCTAGACAGTTCACCATTATTTAATGGTGTTGAGCATTGGACAGTAAGAGAAATTTTAGATAAAAGAACCTGAACATTAAAATTAAAAATTATTTTTGTATTCACTGTATGTGCAAGAATAAAATGACAGCTGTGCTCACTTACGGTTTTGGATCTCATACTCTTTTTTTCCCTTCTTTTTGGTACAGCCGAATTTGCGGGAGTCCTTGTCCAGCAGTGTGGCCTGATGTTATAAAATTAGCTTATTTCAACACAATGAAACCAAAGAAGCAGTATCGTCGAAAACTGAGAGAAGAGTTTGCTTTGTAAGGATGAAGAATTAGTTTAGTCAACTGTAATAGCATTAAGTTTTCCTGGGGACTTTATGAACTTCACTGTTTTCTGGAGAATGAACATAGGTTAAGTGTAAAGAAAAATAGCTTTAGGTTCTTATCCTTCCCATGATACTTACAGAGCTTGTATTAACCCCTATTAAATAAGTGCTTCAGGAAGAGGGGAGAAGGCCCTAAAATTTCAGCCACCTGTCCCCTGTCATCCAAAGAAACATTTGTTTTTCATGATTGGTGCACTTGCTGCTTGTCCCTGTCCAAAAAACAGCTCAGAGTGCTTAATTGTTTTTTATTAGGATAACTGGCTACAGCTAAATACATAGTCTGGTTAACATTACAGTCTTTTGGGTCATAAATGCATTCAACACAGAGGAGTTATCTGAACCATGTATTCTAAAGTACTACCATTGGACTAGTTTTGTGAAAGTTATGGAAAACAGCTGTAAGCTTATTTTAAAGGGCTTGTTCCCCTCCTTCAGTTACTGTGGGTTTCAGGAGAAATGTATCATCCTGATCGTACTAATGACACATCTTTAAAGCCATAGAATTGTTGTCCATGGACCTATCAAAACTGCAGCTCCTCAGGTGCTAAATTCCAAAGTGGAAAGTAACAATATAGTCTTGGCTTAAAAAGGTGGTGTTCTTTTTTGTTTGTTTGTTTTATAAGGACAGCGTTTCAAGCAATTAAACCACACAAAGCAAAGAAAGCTTGCATTATACGCTTGCACAGGTAATAAAAGATGAAGTTTATCTCTGCCTCTTACTACCAATGGGTTTTGTTAGGACGTAAGTTATCTGAGGACTTAATGACCAGTTATTTTGGAAGGGATGTGTTTATTAAAATATTGCACAGACGAATGTGATTCAGAACAAAAATGTGATGCTTCTCTCCATTCTGCTCTTCTGCAGCATCCCACCAGCTGCATTAGATTTATTCGATTATATGCTTGCTCTGGATCCCAGTAAGCGCTGCACAGCTGAACAAGCTCTTCAGTGTGAGTTCCTGCGAGATGTGGAACCATCAAAAATGCCTCCTCCGGAGTAAGTAATTTCCTTTGGGTAATGGTCCATACCTTTACGAAATGTGAACATGCAGTGATTGCATTGAGCTCGTTGTGTTTCAGTTAAAGTAGATGGTGGCAGAACAAAAATGTTGGTATATACAGCTGTTTAATGGTGATCCTGCACTAAAGTGGTTGTGCAGCTGAGTGACTCTTACCCCATCATGGCAGAGGTTGTGAGGATCTGAAAACTTTCATTTGTTTTCCCTAGAACTAGTTACTGTGTTAGTACCTTTAAAAAAATACTCTTACATGGATGTTTCTTATGTTGAAAAACCATCATTTCCATTTTATCTCTGTTTATCAGAGTCTGCTTTTTCCAAGGGTTTTGAGATCCTCCATGAATCTGAATTGCGTTCTTTGATGGTAGAATGACACTGGGAATAGAATTCTCCAAAGGTACCCGAGAGTTAAAGTGAAATGCCGTAAATCGTTTCCTGTGCCAGATGAGAATCTTAACAGGCAGGAGAAGTTAAATACTTTGTGGAGGGTTTTGCCTGTCGGTTTCTCTGAGAGGAAATGTATTGCAAAAGTAGCAGTTTTGCAGTGAGTTAATTGTCATTTTAATCGATACAAATCATATTAGAACAGGCCCTGAGGAAAACAATGAAAAGGTATTACAGAATCTGCAGGTTTCATTCCTGCCTCAAGATAGCTGTCAGAACATAGAACATTTAATATTGTTTGAGTAAGTTGTACCTTCAAGGCAGCCTATACTGACTTTTTAATTATTTACCAACTGGGAAAATTGAATTTTATTTAAGAATTTTATTAAAAATCTTTTGAGACTTACCTGTTGCATATACACGGTTGTTACTAATGCTCCTGATACATGAGGCTAAGAGGTTTCGTTGCCTGAATATGAGTATATCTATCACTGTCTGAATATCAGTAATCGGCAATCTGGTTGTTACTAATGCTCCTGATACACGAGGCTAAGAGGTTTCGTTGCCTGAATATATCTGTCACTGTCTGAATATCAGTAATCGGCAATCTTAGGCTATTCACTAAAATCTTAGAACCACTTGTACAGCATGTTGCTTATATTCATTTTAAAGTAAGTGAATGGGAAGAAACTCAGTTTTTTTCGGGGGCTTGGTAATGCATTCATTCTAGAAGCTGATATATGGAAATTCAAACCAAATATTGGTGTCCTTTTAAAGAGGAACCACACTAACATCTGTCAGAGCGTGCACAGGAAAGTGTTGACTGTTCTCTTGAAAGACTAAAGTTCTGCTTCAGGGAGAAACAGCTGTTCATTCAAAGAAAGTGACAGTGCAGTTTTTTTCGGAGGCTTGGTAATGCATTCATTCTAGAAGCTGATATATGGAAATTCAAACCAAATATTGGTGTCCTTTTAAAGAGGAACCACACTAACATCTGTCAGAGCGTGCACAGGAAAGTGTTGACTGTTCTCTTGAAAGACTAAAGTTCTGCTTCAGGGAGAAACAGCTGTTCATTCAAAGAAAGTGACAGTGCTGGTTGCGAGGACTGTAGGATACTTCTCACAGTGAGCTCTTGCTTGCTTCCAGTTGTTTTTGACTAAATACTTGGCAGGTCTTTGACCTGGTATCCAGAGGGAGAGAATAAAGGAAGCAGTTGTCATAATTGCCTTTCCAGTGGCTCTTGTCATCTGTCACCTAGTTTTTCCATGTTCCTGGGTGAGGGAACTGCTCAGAAGGCACTATTTTTACTGTCTATCTTAGTATTTCCGATATCTATCAGATGGGTCTCTGTGTTCCTCAGGCAATCAGAATTGGGATGCCTGCAGGGAACAGTAATGGAAGGACAGAACTGGTGGCAGATGAGCTCCTTAGGAGACTTTTTTCTCTGCTTTTATCTGTCTTAAAGGACTGGGATATTCCTTGTTCTTCCTAGTATCCTAACTTTGCTAGGGTCAAGTGCTGTTTATTCATGCAACTTTTTTCTGTGCTGTACAACTAAACAGACATAGCTATCTAGTATTTAATTGTGGACAAAGATTTGAACTCATGAGGCAGTAGTACTTTTACAAGCAGACAAGAGGAATTGGTCACCCAGACCCTGAAAAAAAACACTTTTGTATTGATAACTCTGTTATCTGTTACTCTGCAAATTCTGTTTTATAGCAAGTGTGCAGCATTGGGTTTGAAGTCTTGAATTACACAAATAATTAGGCTTTTCATAAGTATGAATGCAAGAAAGTAACATCGATTCTCATTTTAAGATACGTGTTCCCCTTTTCTGCCGGAGGGACATGTGCTTCTGAAATAGGCTATCAACAAAGAGATTTCAGCCAGAAAAAGCAGATCTGAGATTTTACTGGCTTTGAGTGTTTTCTGATGTATTTCTGAGTTCCATTGTTACCTTATGTATAATTTGAGCATTTATTTTACCAACATGGTTTAAAAAAAAAATAAAAATTGTGGGATGAAACTGATTATCTCTAATCATTCTTTGCAGCCTTCCTTTGTGGCAGGATTGCCATGAGCTGTGGAGTAAGAAGCGTAGAAGACAGAAGCAGATGGGCATGACCGATGACTCAACAGCATCTAAAGTCCCTAGGAAGGATCTGTCTCTAGGCATGGATGAGAGCAGAACCAACACCCCACAAGGCATGCAAACTTCTTCCCAACTTAAAACTCAGGGCAACTCTAGTGTAGCACTTGGTCAGTAATATTTTCGGTTCTTATAATTACCTTCTACTTGGATTGCACCTCTAGAAATTTTAGATGTTATTTTCAGAGTACTGACGTCTCCTGGATTCTTGAGGGAGGAACAATATTGTAAGTTAAATCTTTGTTACAAAAGATTTACCTTTGCTTTGGAAACTAGGTGTTCCTTTTAAGTTTTACTTAATTTTTCAATCTGGTCAGAGCAACTACCTTGCTCTGCTTTTTGAGGGGATTTTATCTCTTGCTCATCTATAATTCTTCTGTAGTCTCACAAGCCAGCTGCTGCTCTAAGTTCCTCACAATCTCTATAGATTGGAGGAGCTTTATTGGTATTGATAAGCTGATCATAAGGCAGATTTTAGAACAGTCATCATTTCAAATGAAACAGATTCCCTCTGCATGTTATGCGAGTCTTCAGCTTTCCAAGTTGTTGGGGCTGAAACAAGTTGTAAAAAAAATAAACACCCACCCCAGACCCCCAACCTGGTATAACAAAGAGTAGCTACCTCTGTAGATTGCACAGCCATTAATTCTGAAACTTAAGCAAAGTATCTTGCTTGGAGACCAATTTTATGAATATAATATAAAGAGTAAAGTAATGGTTTCCTATGTGGACACCATTTCAGATACTCGATCATTTGGTGATAGTTGCCTCATAATATGTAGAAATACACAGAGTAACACCACCAAATGGATACCCGATAAGCTTAATTTAGATTTTTGATTGTGCAAAGTGACCATAAATCATACAATACTGATATAGGAGTTCAGCTGAAGAAAAACAGTGAATGTATTCACAGGGCCTAAAAATTCTTTAATACTAACCATCTCGAATCAACTCTTCATTTAACAACAGAACAGAGCTGCAAATACTTTGTGCAAAGATATATAGAAAATAGTTCTTTTGATCATATTTTATTGCAATTTATTGCCTCTTGCTCCTGTTCATCCTGTTTCTCACTGTAAGCCAGCTGTGAGCTTCTGCCACTCCATATGTTTAGGCTAAAGTTTTGGCAGCATTTTCAAGCATCGCTTTTCTGTAGCAATTTTTTCCTCTGCAAATGAAAACTGTATAGAAATTTAAAGAGTCCAAAGGATAGTAGTTATTTTCTTTGTGCTTTTATAACAGGTAGCCTGATGAGAGACTACTGCTTTTATTAGTCATTAACACTAACCGTGCAAAATAAACTAAACAAATAGAGAAGGAATCGTTCAGACCTATATTGCTGTTTGCCCATACGTACATGGAAAAATATATCTAGGTTGAAAAGAAGACAGTTTAATTTTCAGTGGAGCTTAGTTCGGCATAGAGGTGTTTTCTGTATAAAGCAAAACACTTCTGGAAGCCATGATGCACCTTAGATAATATCATCAATAAGGCACACTAAGGAACTCCATGTAGAAATGCATGCTTTAAACAAAACTGTTGCATTTGTTTCTGAGCACTCCAAAAGAAGAGGTTAAAAACACCTTACGTCAATTGCTAATCTTCTGATTCATGAATAGGACCCCTGGTTATTATATATATTATATAGAAATGATGTGAGTTTTTTTCTGTATTACCAAATAAAAGGTGCTTTTATTTTTATATTTATATAAATACATAAAATCATTGAAGTCCCTGGATCCTGCCTGCGTAGGTCCCAAGTGCTGCACATCCACAAGTAGGGTAGGGGGTTGTGGGTTTTGCAGCACTTCCCAGCTGTGCTGCTTTTAGTCTTCCGAGGCAAATGCATAATATTTTTGTGTGTGACTATTTTTTCAGGCATGGCTTTGAATCTACAATGAATTGATATATTGGTGAATTAGCAGAATGGCAGGGATAGAAGAGGACAGAATGTGTTTGTGTTGATCGAGGTTAAAAAAATTTGGGGCTCTGCCAGCCCAGTCACACACGCTCATTTTTATTTTTGAACTACTTTCTTCTCTGAGTCATCTACTCATAGGGCATGTTGAAATCCATGCTGCCTCACTTCTTTCAGAATAAACTACCGCAATGGGTGTTTGAAACCGAGAAACTACTTTGATATTCTGACTTCGTTATTCATATTCCCCTGCATCATCATAACCTCCTCTTATTTGTGGCAAACTCCATTTCATTGAAGAAATTGTGTATCATCACATTTTCCTGCTACTCAGTGATTGACTTCGTGTCCTTCAAACTCAGCACTTGCTCTTGCATTTATACTGCTAGCTCCTGGGTCACCTAGAGCCTGGTCATTTGAGCAGGTGTTAGAATCCGGAGACTGAATTAGAATGGGCCAGAACATGACTGGAAATGCGTTTTGCAGATGCCCACTTTTTAACAGAGGGATGTGATATGTCAAAGATAGGAAGTTTTGCGGGGATTGGAAATCTTACAGCTGCCTAAAGCAGGTGGCCTTAAGCCCCAGCTTAGTTGTACTGTGGAAAATTGAGCTCCAGCTTGATGTTTCTCATCTGTCCAAGTGTGTGTGCGTCCATCCCTTGGAAGTCACTTTCTTTTTATTGGATCTTACTGTTCTGTTTCCTATAGATACTCGCCCAAAGGCAGTTAATATGTAAAAGCATTCCGTTTCTATGTTGTCCAAACCCATGCTTTGCCAGTTCTGTTAGCCATGCTAGATTAGTCTTTCTTTTGAGTTTCTGAAATATGCCAGTTCTAAATAATACTTAAAACCACCTTTTTTGTCTTTAGCAAAAACAAGCACTGGACAGCAGTTAAACCAGAATGAAGTGGCAATCCTGCTAAACCTGCTACAGTCTAAAACAAGTGTTAGTTTGGCACAGTTTGCCCAAGTGTTGAATATTAAGGTAAACCCAGAGACTCAGCAGCAACTAAATAAAATAAATCTTCCTGCTGGAATTTTGTCAGCAGGTGAAAAACAGTCAGAACAGCAGCAGCAGCAGCAGCCGCCGCCGCCAACCACCGGAACAGGAGCCTCTAAAACAGCCGACCGTCACACAACCTCCTGTACCACCTGCTCAGCTGAGTCAGCCTAAAGTTGAGACTGATGCTGCCCAGGCAGCTGTACAGAGTGCATTTGCTGTTCTGTTGTCTCAGTTAATAAAGGCTCAGCAAACAAAACAAAAAGATTTTGTGTTGGAGGAGAAGGAAAACGGATCAGGAAATGAAATGTCGTTACAACTCAGGCAGCCTCCAGAGCCCACCACTCCTGTGTCTGTCAGCCGGGATGACGTGGAATCTCCAGCACCCGGCTACCCACATCTGATCAAGTCATTATATACGTCTGCAGGTACTGAAGGGCTTTATTGCTAACCGGCAGATACCTTGTTCAGTGGAGACGTAATAGTTTGGGGATAAAGAGTTAACATGTTAACCATATGAGTCTATGTGAGTACAGGAGAGATGATTAAATTGATTATTTTTTTTTGGTCACGTTTTCAGTCTGGATTATAGAATTTGTGTCTTGCTGTAACAGGTGCCATGCAGACAGAGCAAAAGATGATCCCCACTCTAAGAGGTACACAAGTGCCGGTAGTATTCCTGATGAAACAGTTACATTGATTGTTATTCTGGGGGTTTGGGGTTTTCTTAGTGTTGTTTGTGGTGGAGAGGAGAGTCTTCTCTAGCAAATTCATAGATGGAATTTGCCACTTTTGCCTGTGTTTTTAGCTAAAGCCTATTTTGGGGATAGGGTATTTTATTTTTGTTTTTAGGGCTGACTAGAGTAATTTCTTAGTGTCAAATTCAGTAAGTGGTTACCTGTAACTGTCACTAACACCTGTGGTTGAAGGTTTTCATTGGGGTATAGTAGTGGCTTCCGTAGTCTCCTCAAAGTTCAGAGCTCTACTGTTGATCTTTTTGAATTGATATTTCAGTTTTATTATATGGTGGTTAAAGTATTGCTCTGTGGTGTTTGCAGCTGTTGAAAGAAATATTCTGAAGTGGTTTAGGAGTGGTTTTTGAGGTTTTTTTGGGTGGTGTTTGTTTCGTTCAGGGTTTTTTTAACCTTATGTTTTGCTGTTCCTTGATAGGGTGGCGTTTTGTCCCTCAAGACTTTTATCCCTATTGGCAAATCTTTTCTCATCCCTCTTTGAATTTTCTAATGTTTATGTGTAGCTTGAGTTTTGTTTGAGGTTTTTGGTAGTTCTTTTGGTTTTGTTTTTGGGTGGTTTTTTGGTTATTTTAAGGAACTTGTACCGTTTTTCTTTAACTGCTTGCCTGGTAATCTTACTTTGACAAGAAATCAGCATCACCTCCTAAGGCAAATGAGCTGTTGCCTTCTCTAAAATAATCTGTCCAGCTATCAGTAAATTTAATTAATAACTTAATGAGGATTGAAGTAACAAACCTCTGTATTGTTCCAGGAAAGAGTCCTTTCCTGTCTGGTATTGTTCTTGTATATTTTTATTCAAAGCTTTTCTTTTTCATCTGCTTAGGTCAAGAGGATTTGGTTAGACAGTCCGAGATGAGGCTTCTAAACCGAACACCCGAACAAGAACGCCCTCGGATCTTGCCTCCAGACCAGCGTCCCCCAGAGCCACCGGAGCCTCCGCCTCTCACTGATGAAGACCTTGATTATCGGACAGAGAACCAGCATTTGCCTATAACTAACTCTTCAGGAACAGATCCTCACGCAGGAGTGAAAGCAGCTCTTCTGCAGCTGCTTGCTCAGCATCAAGCTCAGGCGACAACAGAGGAGCCAGTACAAACGAGTGTGGATTATCAGGCTAGAGACTCCTACGTACCAGGCCCAGACTACAAGGATAACTTTGGATCATCCTCCTTCTCATCTGCCCATTACGGCAGTAGCGATGGAATAGGAAGCGGATCGTCGGGAGCATTAGAAAGGAGGAGCTTCCTTGGAAACTCGGATATTCAGTCTTTGGATAACTACAGTACTGCTTCATCTCACTCTGGTGCTGCCCCTCCTCCGTCGGCCTTTTCAGAATCCTTTCCCAGCTCAGTAACCGGTTATGGAGACATTTACCTCAACACTGGCGCCATGCTATTTAGTGGAGATAAAGACCATAGGTTTGAATACAGCCACGGCCCGATCCCGGTTCTGGGGAGCAGCAGTGACGCTTCCGCAGGGCCAGAGAGCACGCACTCTTTGCCCACAAAGATGCACAACTACAGCTACGGAAGTAACTTACAGGAAAATCCCAGTGGCATCAGCCACATGCATGGACAGACTTGGACTTCTCCTGCCCAAGGACCCGGCTATTCCCAAGGATACAGGGGACACATTAGCACATCTGCAGTGAGAGGGCGAGGCAGAGGATTACCATATTGAGTATCTGTTTTTCCTCAGGCACATCATTTTTATCTGGAAAAACTTTTTTTTTTTTCCTAGCTGCAGTTTAAAGCAGCAACTCAACAGACTTGAATAATGTTAATTCAACAGCTTTATTTTTATGTGGAAAAGGGTCTTGCATACAGTAGGAAAAATTAAAGATGCTTAAAACTCATGCTGTCTGAAAACTAGATAAATTGATTGTACATGTTCACAAACTCTAGTTCTGAATTTTATTTTGTATTTTGGCAGTTTTAAGTGGATGCTAAATTTAGGGACATCAGCTTTTTATGGCACTCTTTCAGATCTTCTGAACTATGCACATTTGTGCTTTTTTTGTAAGTTTGGACCAACTTTTATGTAAAAAAAAATTTTACAACAATCAAAGCAGGGCACTGATTTATTTGGTATTTTTCTTTTTACAGAACTACCTTTAGTCAAAGGTCACTGTCAGTCTTTGCACTGCTTTCAGTGTTATTGTGGAAGGTGTACTTTGTGCTCATTTCAGATAATAAAACACAACCTTTCTCTTGATGCAAAATTTTATAAATATTTGGTCAATGTTATTTTTTTTTCTTTCAAGAAAAAAAAAAAGAATGGATGTTCTGGTAAAATGTTCTCTCCATCTCCCAGGCTTGTTTATATAAAAACTGTTTTACTTGAATGGTAAGTGCCTTAACATGTAAGCTTAAGGTCTGCAAAAATTTGGAAGTACTTCACAGATCGATATGAAAATAATACCTAAACGTAGGTAGTTAACATGAAAATTCAGATAATAATAGGTCATAACCTTGTGCTGTTTACTTCAGGTGGGCCAGTTATTTAGAGACCTAATCTTATCTTGATGAAATCGTAATTTCCAAATTGAACTTCATGAGAAACGTTGAAAGTGAGGAGAAGAATGAAGAGTGTAGTTTTTCCTCGGCTCCCTCTTGGAGTTGTAGTAAGTGTTTTAGTTCCTCTGCCAAATAAATTATACTTTATATGTCCTTACCAAGTGATGAAATAGGTTTTTTCTCTTAAATGTCAACAGCAGTAATTACTTTGTGTGAAAAGCTGACGCTGTCGTCTTTTTACCACAAATGCTGCAGTATAGAAAGTAACCGAAGGAAAAATGACCAGTATTTAACGCAACAGCAAAACATTTGATGCTAGTTCTAATTCTCTGTAAACTTGTGATTGTGCCAATTAATCGATACCTGCTGTTCCACAGAACATTTTAATATTGGAATCGAGTCTCTCTGAACAACTGATAAAATGACTGTAGTTAAAACTCTTACCAAGAGCCACTCCTCGTATTAATTGCAACTTCCAGCATGTTTGGTTTTTTTTTTTCCTTTGACAACAAGTGGTCTCTCTTCTGCAGAGAGGAGGTATGGTTATGTTTTGCATGTACGTAAAAGAATGTTTTAAAGCCCATATTGGAAACAATTTTCCAACTGATTATCCAGTTGACAAATCGGTACCTTATGTAACTGAGTGTTTAATTATTACTTTTTAAAAAGTAAAATTTCTACTTACACTATTACAAACGTAGTCTTGTCAGTGACTTTTTGGATTTTCAGAATAGAAGCCAAAGTTGTTGGTGTTTTGTTTTGTTTTAGTTGAAAATCCTGGTTCGTATATGGCTAACTACCACATTGTAGAGCATGGAGAAACTCGCTTCGCTAACTACGTAGCGTTTGAGGATCTGGCAAATGAGAAATGGAGAGAGAGTCGTGCTGCTTACGATGTCCCTGTAAGTCTGGCAGTTGCCTTCGCTAGACACAGTAGAAAATCCTGCGATCTGAAAATAAAAGCGGCCTGGTCAGAAAGAAATACTTATGACCTGAATAGCCTGTGCTTAAGAAAAACAAAAGCTTCATGTCTGAATGACAGTGCATTGGATAGTTTACCTTGAGTAAGGACACCCCCATAGCATTTTTCTGCTAGTAAAATTTTACAATCAAAAATCATTAGTGTCATTTAGATATAGACAGTGTCAGCTAAGGCTTTTTGTTTAGTAATCTTAAAAAAAAAAAAAAAAAAACAAACCAAACAGACCCACAGTGATACAGATTGCTTTTTTTCAGAATCAAGCAAAAAACTTCTAAAGCTTTTAGGCAGTTGCTTTCACTAAAAATGTGCAGTCTGGTGTTACTCTCCTGCACTTCAAATGCAACTGCAGGTGATAGTTGGCTAAAAAAGCAGGTAAGTTCAAACGGAAGGTAGATCTCGGAGGACTAAATGATTTGACTTCCAATACAAAAATGCCAGGAAGACGTTGTGTCTCCTACTTGCCTCCCTTTTGGAGGTAAATTTTCAAGTCATTTAGTTCATCTCATTTTAATGCAGAAAAGTCAGTCTCCTCTGCATGCGTAAACAACAGTGCAGTTTCCTTACAGGCTGGCAGTACTCTGATGTTGCATTGTTCTGCCAAAATGGGTTTCAGTCTTTGACCGTGAAAAAAAAACCCAAACAAACCAGCACAAGTAATCCTGACTATGAGGAGAGAGAAGGAGATGCACTAGACAGTTGACTTCTAGATGCGTCAGAAACAAAACTGGCATGCTGTGGCAGGTGCGTACTGCACCATGACTTTTCCCCAAATTCGGTTTAAGGATTACTAGCCTGTGACTTTCAACACTGTATTTGCCTGGGACAACAGTGTTGGGATAATTTGGAGGGAAAGTTAAGATATTTCCATATACGATAATCCTGAAGAGATTACCTTCTCTGCAGCCTGGGGCATCTTCTTGGACTTTCCTCCCGAGCAGGCAGAGGCTGCGCGTGGGTAAGGGGCTCTGCCCTCCCTCTCCGGGACAACCCGTGGGGTGCATGGCAGGAGGATTTCTCCCCACAGCCACGATCCCCTGGCCCCGCAGTTGCACCTGGGCAGGTTAGCAGCCAGGGAACCAGCTGGATCTAAGGACTGTAGGTCCACATTCATTTGTACCGGACCTGTGTATTACCTACCAAAATTTTTGAATTGAATCCCATGACAAGGTGCTTAATGTCAGTTCAGAATTTTACCCTTTTGAACAAATTTCACTCGGCAGAGTGAGTCTGTACTAGTTTGGCATTTTACATCACGTGGCTCTTGCATTTTTGATGCAGCAGTAGACATTCTGAAAACTGCATTATTTTTCTGTGGAGCTGTGGCTTTTGTTGCTTCCCGCCCGCCCCATTCCTTTGGGTTTACGTTTTCTGTGCTGCAATTCCAAAGTGTGCTACAGAGACCTGGACACTGCATCGAAAAGTAAGTGTTGTGTGTTTGTATTTCTAAATAAACATAGCAAAATACTGTAATCACGGACTATCAAGTAGCAAGTACTTCGTTATTTATATTCAGTGGTCTTTAGCCATACCAAGAGGAAGAAAGCGAGCACGACTGGACCGCTATGACCATGACTTAAAATGCTTAGACTATTATAATACTTAAAATCAGCCAAAGGAAAAGGAAACAGCTTTTGTCATGGATCGCTAGTTGTTGTTGCTAATCTTGAACAGAAGGAGCAGTGTTAGGGAAGAGGTGTAAAAATACATGTATCCTTAAATATTAATATAATTTCTTGGAAAAATAATTTTAAAAAAGCAAACTTCTGTATTTTTTCTTATGTTTCCATAAAACATGGTCTGTGTTAAATTTTCTCCATGCCATGGTAGCATAAGGTGCTTTCTAGAAGCAGAGGCGATAAGTGCTGTAATGTAAGTTCTTAGGGTTTTGAGTGCTCTTCTCCTTTTGCTTGGTGCAGGAGGCAGTTTCAGTTTTGGTGAAGTTTCCCGTTCAGTGAGTTTAATAGATAATTGTGCGGTAAAAACTGAAGTACTGAAGTAACATAGGATACCTCTTGTCTGCAGGTAAATTAGATCTCAGACCAGGCATTCTGTTTCCAAGAGAGAAAAATCTCAGATGTATTTCTTGCATTCTTCTTTTCGTTAATAAAACACGCAAGTGTTTTACATACAACATTTCTCCTGTCTATTCTGTTACACTGTTTTTTTTACATGGGAAAATTCTGGCTATTTCCCTTCCTGATAGTTTTGGGATGTTCTATATATGTGGAAGTGTGTCATGAAATAAAGGAATCGCCAGAAAACTGATTGGAATTCTGTACTTAAAAGACCTTGGGTTGACGTAAAATGGAACTAACTTTTGCTTATCAGGGTGAAGAATACTTTATTGCAGGAGTTATTTCAAGACAACCTAATTTAAAATAATCAAACTGTTATGCTTCAGCTTGCTTACTCTTTGTTATTTTAAGCCATTTGTATATAAAATGTATTGTGCGGCCTGTAAATAAAATACATGAAAACTTGAAGTCTTTCATTGTTTTCCCTCTCTGGTTGTGAAACAGCATTTCAAAAGACCGTTGGGTTAAACCGGGGTGGTTTTTTAGTATCCAAACAAATTTTCAGTGTGTGAAAATTCTGCAAGTTATTAAAAAAGTATTTGCTGCTCCAGTACTTTTTTCAAAGGAAAACCGCAGCGACTGACAGTTCGAGTGCTTGTTGCTGGAGCGGGTTAAGGCAGGAGCCAAGGGTGCAGCGTAGCGTCCCGGGGAGCACCGACGGCGCAGCGACCGCTGGGACACGGTTGGGGGAAACGGCCGCTCCGGGCATGAGAGGATGCTGCTGTACCCAGCACCTGTTCGCGTGAGCTTTTCGGGATGCTGGGCTATGCACGACATGACATTTTTCCTTAGCGCTGTCCGAGCCAGAGGTGCAATTAGTATTCCCCAGCGCTGTCTCTTTATTTAAGGAGGATGGGGTCTGTGTTAGAAGTAATTGAAATCGAACCCAAAGAGCCAGGTATTTTCAGTGTCTGGCTACATGCGTACGCTGCTGGCGAAGCACTAAATCGAGCGTGGCTTCGGCAACTGTGCTTTGAATGCCTGAGGGTTCTCTGTTTTTTTCCTGCTGCATCACCTAATTTAATGGAAATATTTGCATCTGTCAATAAATCCTATACTTCCATCCAAAAATAAGGCACTTATCTTCAGTACTCTTAAACTCCAGGT